AACAATCAATATGTAAAAAATTCTTTCTCATACACAAACAAAGCTTGACGTTTGAGAGAAAGTGTTTTGCTAATATAGGCCACCTGGATTTTCCTTATGCATATATAGCTCCAATTATATCGCCGAAGCACATGTCTCAATGACTTTAGGTAATGCCAAAACAAGGATTGTGACCACAACATACTTTTAACTCCTCGAATGATGCCTCAACTACAATATTCCATTAAATCTATCTTTTTTCAATAAGTTAGTAAGTGGTTTGACAATTTTACCGTAGTCTTTTATAAAATATATGTAATAGCAAGTCAACCTTAAAAACCATCTCAACTCGTTTCAAGGTTTGTGGAATAAGCCACTATTGCTCGGTTTTTATTTTTTCAGCATCAGTTTGAACCCCATGCTTTGAAATTTAATGACCTAAATGCTCTACCTTTGAAGTGCCAAAGGTATATTTAGACTTCTTAGCAAAAAGGGTATTTTGTCTAAGTAATGTTAAAACAGCTTTCCAAATGATGTATATATTCATCTAAAATTTTGCTAAAAACCAAGTATATCATAAAAAAAAACTAAGATAAATTTTTGAAAGAAAGACTTAAAAATATCATTTATCAAAGATTGAAAATGCTTAGGGCATTTATTAATCCAAAAGGCATTACCAAATACTCATAATGTCCATCGTGTGTACGAAATGCGCTTTTGAAATATCTTGGATATTCATCCTAATTTGATGATAACCAACGAGTAAATCAAGTTTAGAAAATATAATAGAACCATACAACTCATCTAGAAGTTGTTCAGGTGATAGGAATACGAAATTGATCCTTGATAGTGATTTAATTAAGTCTCCTATAATCCATACACATCCTCCAAGTGTCATCTTTTTTCTTAACCACCATAATTGGAGAGGAAAATGGACTCATACTAAGTTGGATAATCCCAATTCCTAACATCTCTTAAACTTGTCCCTTTATCTCATCTTTGTGAACGAAAGGTACTAATAAGGTTTCATACTAACAAGCTCGGATATTTCCTTTCGGGTAATTTTTTGATAATGAGTCCTATGAGGAGGTAGCCCTTTTAGTTCTTCAAAAACATCCCCAAATTTATCCAAAAGTTGTTCTATTTAAGCGTAAATGACATTCTCCACTTTTACTCCATACACTCGTTATTTTTTATTCATCCATATCTACTATTTGATTCGAGTGTAACCAACTTAAGTGTTGTTGTTTACACAAAATCTTATCAACTTCTTTTTCTTCCTTATTTTTAACCAAGTTCATACAAGTACTCTTTAATAGAAATAACCTCCCTTCCTAGACAAAACTTATGCACATGTTTCTAAAATTCTAGGTAATTTCCCCCAAGTGCATATAGCCATACAATTCCTAAAATCATCGAATACATTTCTATTTGCATTACAAAAATAATAGTCTCAAACCATTTCCTTTGTATCCTCCATCTAAATTTGTTAGACACATACTCACAACAAATTTCCCCTCTATTGGCCACCATGACATTAACAAAACTAATCTCGACCAACTCACAATTTATCTTTCCGGCAAAACTCAAGTCTATGAAATTATGGGTGCTTCCAATGTCTACTAGTATATTCATTCTCTTCCTTTGCAATTCCTCCATAATTTTCATGGTTTAGTAATACTCTTCTCCAAACAATATACAATTTAAAATATGATACAATTCTCTAATAATACCTCCCACATTATGAATAACTCATAAATTTTCATCATCCACTCCTATTCCAATATCTTTTTCATTGCTTTCCTCCTTTTCCATTTCTAGCATAAACAGCTTGCTTTCCCTTGCATCTATAACTAGGATTACACCTCTCATCACAAAAATAACATTACTTACTTGGTCTCCACTAATCCAGCTTTTTATTGCTAGGTAGTCTTCGTATTTTAAAAATAGAATTGCCATTTTTGAACCGAGTTGGTAAAGGCAATATGCCTTTTTGGTTTTGAAAAGAAGAATTGCTAGAATTCATTAAAGAATTCTGTCCAAAAAGGTTCTATCCAAAGTAGTTTATAGGAATTTGTAGGATTTGATATTTGGTTAGAAAAGGAAGTGTAGTTATTGGTTTTTTTAGTATGGAAGGAAGGAATTTTAGAAGGAAATATGTTGGATTGAGGTTGGATGTCATGATTGGTTGCTTGTAGTTTAGCTAATGCCATAGCCAATTTGAGTGTTTTTTGTCTCATAATTTTGATAAGGACTTGAAATTCATATTTAAGACTCGCTAATGGAGCAACCGATTGTAAAACCAACTTATTCACTATCGAGATAAATACTTTAAGAAATGATTGAACATCATGTGTCCGTTTCAACCCTATCAATTCAGCTATTGGATCATTGAATATCATTTCTCCAAAACATACACTCATAGCCTCAATGTATTCTTTCCATTTTATCAAGTTATTTAGCCCATACATCCTTACAAACACTCGATACTATTCTAAAGCTTCATCTTATAAGTGGATAGCAATTAAGTTGACCTTAGCTTCTTCCGGTATTCTATCCACCATAAAAAAAAACCCCTTGAATCCGAAAATCCATCCTTTAAAGTCCTCTTCATTAAATTTTGAAAATTCTATTTCGATCATCCTAGTATTATACTCGGTGCCCCGAATTACTTCCTCCATATCCATTATACACAAATTTATTGTTAAAATTTCTAATAGGATATCCATAGTCGGGATGCCTAAAACTTCCTCTCTCTACATTACCAACTCCTTCAACATTAATACTAGTAGTGTGAATAATGTCTATTTCTTTAACCACTGGACCTTTAAGTCCTTTCATAATCTCTTTCAACTCAAGCAATATTATTATCATATCTATCAAACACATTATTGTATTTTTTAGATAGTTCGAGTGATTACCTTGGATATTTGAGAGATAGATTCCTTCATTTTTTTGAGATATGTGTTTTCTTTCACCATTGTTACACAATTTCTCATTTTTTACATCATAGATGCCAAAATCTTGCTTCACAACCAATTGATCCGAGTATTCCAATCCACAATGAAGAACTTAAGAAGAATTGAAAAGAATCTATTGATGTGAGTGAAAAACAAGTTTATTTCAAACAAGTAATGATAAATTGTTGATGCAAAATAAACAAGAACAAGATGAAACACGAGACTTGAACAAGAAGAATAATAGAAAGAGAGAGAGAAAACTAGAGAGAATTTTAGAGAAAAAACCCGTTTTTGTCAAAATAGAAGACAAATCCAACTTCTCTCTCGAACTAGTATACTAGTCGTTAGGCTTAGTAACAACTCTAACAAACTATTAAACACTAACTTCTCTCTCTTCTAACTAATACATTAGCCGTTAGGCTTAGTAACAACTCTAACAAACTATTAATCACTAACACATGTGTATTTAGTTGTTGCACTTAATCCAGGTGTCCCTTCACGTATACAATTCTAGCCCTTAAATCCGTATCATATCCAACCACAACCAAAGCCTCTCTTCCGTAACACCAACATCAAACCTTCACATATTCTCTTCATTCTTCATTCCTTCATGAATGTATCACAATTTTTTTATCAAGAGCAAATCAAGATAAATCTTTGTGGAATTTTGGAGGTCATAATTAACACTTTGATTGTGGATTTGATTGCGGATATCTTTTATTGATGAATATATTTCCAACTAAGAATAGCAAAATTATTCTTTGGCGTATAAAGATCATTATTAAGATTTTAGATTACGTAATTTTAATCAAAGAAATGTTCTAGAAATCAAGTGAAATTCCTTTCTGTCAAAATATGTTGGTCTTGCCCCTATGGTTATTATTTTATTTCCCACTGTCCCTTTACCTTTCAAATCCAGTATTGGGTCAACTTGAATTTGAGTTAATGATCATGTTGAGTGTTTTAACTTCTTATCTCTGCCTTTCAATTCCTTCAATAGTCCCACTCTCTAGGCTGTTAATTTTCACTGAGCTAACAATTTTTCAACAGTGCTCTATGTCTCTCTTTTAATCTGTTATTTTGGATGTGGAACGAAATTTGATCACTGATCTTTTGAGACAATGCCAAGTGATTTTATCAATTAAACTAGCTAGCAGCCTAGCATGCACTATGAGCATTGCTTTTTTGCTTGTTTCGAATTGATGCTTGGACACTAACAAATAGTGTGTTTTGTTTCCACTTTCTTCTGTGGCGCATGGTCTGTTGCACGATTCCAGTCCAGATAAACCAAGATAGATCTACTTTGATTCTTTTCTTTTATATATGCATATATATTCCCAGAATGGTACTTTGAATATTCATGATTCTGATTGATACCCTACGTCCCACATCGTGCAATGCCTTCTTCGATATAGACTGATCTATTTCTTTATCAAATCCAAGATTGCCATTTGAAGTTTCATTTGGCTTGTGATTTTGTCATATGTCTAGGGATCATTTCCTTTTAGAGTTGTTCTGTCCATTATCATCTGCACTGTGGTCCTACTTCTATTATTTATTTTTTTCACCAATTTTAAAACCGTTGACATCATGCTGATTTAGCCTAATTTTTTGTTTATTTATTTTAATATGTTTTATATTATTAGATCTTATTACTTTAGCAACTAGAGCCAAGTCAACTCCACCATTAATATGATATTACCTTAAATTCCTCACTTTGTAATGTCATTTCCCCATCACTCTTGGTTAAGCCTAGCGGCTTGTGAGTTCATTTAACTCCATAGCTTCAGATGTCAAAACAAATAATTTTGTAGATTCGAAATGAGATATAGTGGTTAAAGATATTTGGCTTAAACATAAATATCAGAATCTTGGCATAGCATGGATACCTTTAACTGATAATTGAAATCTAGTCTGCAAAGGGTCGGAAAAACAAGAATACTGTAACAGAAGTAACAAGGGATTTTTTTTTTTAAAGCTTTTTCACTCCTGAATTCTGGCTTGCTTAATTGGTTCTCGATCTTGCCGAATGCACTACAGAGGCATGGCCAACGCTTTGATCTACACATGGTTTGGAGTGGTATTTGGTGGTGTTGGTGCAGAGGCAATGCGCTTGCCACGTTCAGACCGGCTGTTCTCAGCAAACTTGAGGCTTTGCTGGTGCATGCCCTTTTGCTTCTCCTCCTCGTTCCACTCTGATGCATAATAGGACTCTTCGGTAGATTTCACTACGTCCTTTGATGCAGGAAAGAACATGCCACCCCATTGTGGGAAGTAAACCAAAGTCACAGGAAGAGTGCAACCACAAATCATAACACCCATCCAGGATAGACCTGCTGCTGTGGATAATCTTGAGCTTGAAAAGAATAATAATTGTGTCAATCCAGACCCAAAATTTCCACCTGCACCAGTAAGACCTGATATGATTCCCAACGATCGTCGAGAAATGAAGGGAATGATACCAAATGTTGCTCCACAAGCTGCTTGAGCTCCAATAGAGAAGAGAATCATTGCCACAACAGCAATGGGAAGTGAATTAGCACGGCCAAGCCAAATACAGAAGACTCCTCCAAGAGTTTGTAAAATCCAGAGCACCCATAATCTCCCTCTCATTCCAAAGTATCTTCCTGCTAAGTCTGAAGAATATCCACCGAATGGTCGAGCTAGAATGTTAGCCATACCAAAGGTAGCAGCAATGACACCAGCTGTGTGAAGCTTTAGATCGAACCTATTATATATGTAAGAAAAGCTTTTAATTAGTTCATATATAATATGAGACTACTAGGTAAAAAGGCGCATGTGATTGGTTCAAGCATTACCTATCATAGAAGTACTCGGCAATAACATTATCGGTGGATAATTCAACTCCCATGGAGTAGCCATAGAGAAGGACAAAGATCCAGGTCCTATAGTTTGTAACAGCATACCATAGTACCTGAACAAGAGATCAAACACATTGAATAATTAAGATTTAATGATCTTTCTGAGTTATGAGCTTTAATGGAGAGTGGCTATAGAACTCAAAGAAACTGACCTTGGAGAACTTATCTTTGGCAACATCACCCTTCTTCTGTAGGGCACCGAGATTCCCATCAGGCAAGTCTTGGCCTAGATTCAAGACTAAGATTCCCATGATAACATGAAGCCATCCTGGAATGAAAAATGCTATTCTCCAAGCACTGAATGGAGTTGAACCAGCTCGTTTGATCAGTTCGTAGACCATGGGCATTATGAGCTGAGTTGCACCTCCACCCATATTACCCCAACCGGCTGCAGTTCCATTGACAAGTCCTATAATATTGCTGTTAAACATGGTGCTCATCCAGTACTGGCAAGACACAAAGGTTGCAAGAGAGAATCCAATCATGAAACGGACCGCTATGTATCCTCCAGCTGAGGACACAAAGGACATGCAAAACACAGTTGGGGCTGAGAGCATGATCAGAAAAGCACACCCATATCGTGGCCCCAGGAGGTCACAAACTGCGCCCATTACAAGCCTGGAGAAGATGCTCCCAGAGACAGAAGCAACCCCAGCATTACCAATGTCACTTTTGGTTAAATTAAGGTTGTCCCGAATAATGGGAACGAGGGGTGCTGCGGCAAAAGTGGAGACAAAACAAACGGAGAAGGATATCCAAGAAAGGTGAAATGTTCTCATGTGAGGCTTAGCTAAAGAGAATACTTTGAGCACTTTAGCCTTGTGCTCAGAATCAACTGGCAATGCAAATTTTGCTGTTGTATCTGTTGGGGCTATAGGAGAAGCAACAGAGAAGGCAAAGGTTTGTTCTCTGCCCGTCACTCCATGCATGGAGCTACCTGGGGAACCCTCGACGTCAGCCATTCCCTTCCTCTTTTCTCTTCAAAATAGGACTACGATTGGATTTCTAGACTAGGGAAGTTCGAAAGGCTACCACTTGGAAGGTAGTATATTTGCTTTTGTTGTGAGATGAGAAGTAAGGTTCTGTGGTATTTATATTAAATTGTCCGTTGACATTGTAAAACCTGAAGAAGCAAGTGGAGATTCCTTGACTGTTGGGATATTCTTGGGCCATTCCTATTTGAATAAAAAAAAACCAAAACAGAAACAAAAACCAAAAACTCTTCCCCGCATCTCAACTTGTTGTAACTTCAGACTTAGAGGGCCTCGTCGTATTGCTCAAGGATCACCATGTCCTTTCAGAATTAGCCATCATTTTCCGAGCGATTAAGTCTGCCTCGACGATTATGATTATTTTACAGCTATCTTGTTTAATGTAAAATAGTTGTCGTAATCACGTTGAATATCATTCGGGACTTCATAGAGCCAGCTAGCTTTATAGTTGTTTCAGAGTAGTTAGTGTAAAAACTAAGGTGGTTTAAGCTTTAATTTGGAATTACTTAATCAGATAAAAATACACGTAATGTTAATCAAGGTAGTTGATGCGGATGCGCTTTTATTGTCAAGTCATCATCTGTTTCAAAGATTAGCCCTTTCAGACTGATGAGGAATTTAAACCTTGTAGATTTTTCGTTGCTTCTTGACAGTTGAAAAGATGATCAAATATGCAAAACATTTACTGAGATACGCCAACCGTGTCATAATGAAAAGAAATTACAATTTTTTTTAACCACAAAGACCTCTTGAAGTTACCACCTCGAGTTCTAAAATGATTAATTTGCTATACTTTTATCTCAACTAATACCGAGCCTCCAACATTAGATTCGGTTCCTCTTAAAAGGATAAGAGAATATAATCAGTTATGTTTCAAATCTCACTATTAATTTTAAATTCAATAATTTAGATTAAATGAGTGAAATAAAATAAAAATGTTACACTAAATCATATCCATCCAATGAGAGGATTTGAATACCCACACGAGCGAAGTAAATTCTTTTGCCATAGCACCAAAAAAGAAAAAAGAAAAAAAAACTTATGTTATACAACTTCAACCTAGTAAATTTTTCTTGTTATATATATACACACACCGATTTAAGAAAATAGGCTCTTTTTAGGTGTTTTGCTTTCTACAAAAATTACAGCATTGGTCTTATAATGCCGTTAATTCCAAAACCAAATCTTTTTTTTTCAAAATAAAGATATTATTTTTTGAAACAACTTAATTTGAAGACATGCTTGAAATTAAAGTTAAGATGTCAAATTAAAGAGTGGAACAACTATCTAATGATTTTATAGATCAGATTAATAGACAAAAATCTAAAAAGACAGGTTGAAAGGGAAAACACACATTGATCTTTTAATGAATCATATTTTATTTGGATGTTCAGTTGGTGCAAATTATAACAATCCAAAAAAACATAATGCAGTTGATCGCTATATCTATTTGAGATCATTTTGGATGTCAAAATTCACTCTAAATATCTACTTTGGACCTTCTTATAATCCAGACTTGCGAAACGAGCTCAGATTGTTGCTACTCGGAAATTATAGCTTTAATTACTATTTTATCTTTTTTCTTATTTAGTTTTGATTGTTTAGGGCAGCCACAATTATCATTGAATAAAAAGGCTAAAATAGTTTAACCACTTCTTAACTTTAAGTCGTTAGAAATTGAGTCTTTGAACTTTTTTATTAGTTTTAGAAATTTTTAAACTTCTAACTTTTTCAAATTTAATTGTACTTCAGCTTTCTATCATTTATCTCAAATCATAATGATCATATAAATAGTTTTATGATAAAAATTTTAGGATCATTTTAGGGTTATTTTTCATTTTTCTTAATTTTTTATATTTTTAATTAAACAAATATAGTTTTTGATTTTAAAAATTTTGGAATTTTTTTTACAAAATAGATTGAATTTTTTTCAACGTGTGCAAAATTTTAAGTCAAAATACTAAGAATTGGATTTTTTTAAAAAAAAAGATGATGGTTAAAAGTCATTGGATGGACTGAATTTAAAATAAATAAAAAAATTAAAAGTTCAAGTTTCTTTAAAACCAATAAAAAAGTTTAGAGACTCATCTCAAATAACTTAAACTTTAGGAATGGTTAGACATTTTTAATCAATAAAAAATTACTGACTTTAAAGTTTTCACTATAGCCATACTATTATTCTTGTTTTTAGGATTTTTTGGAAATCAATAAACCTTATATCTCACTAAATACTGCTCCACAATTATAGACAGCCAAAAATTATGTCATAAATAAATTGATAGAGTTACAGTTGTAGATGGCTGCAGTCACATTTTCGCATTCCACACACATATATAGTGAAGATTATGAAAATAACTACATGAGCTAGTTTGGTTGATTAATTTCACACATGCATGTGGTATGGATTTTACTTTCACCATTTCTGACTTTTGGGATTCATTTTTTATTCAAATTTAACTAATTAAGATACGCATGCGTATGCTTATTTTACAATTTCTGCCTTTTTTTTCCCCTTTGGTTTTGCGTTTCATAATTGAAGACAGGTCAACTTTTCCTGTAACCTAGCTAATAATTGAGAATCTTCTTTTTCTTTAATTTATTTCTCATATTCCATCTAATTATATAATGCCAGGTGTAGATAACTACAGGCTAGATAGAACATTCAGATATGTTTGGACATTGAGATCAGCATTAATTAATTTGCGTTAATATCCCTTTCATGAACTTTATTATTTTTTTTAATCCTCAATGAAAACTCAGAATATTCCATGTATCATAGCAGATTTTGATTCATCTTTATATTTAAAATTAGAAAGGTACGGTTAACATAAAAATTAGAGACAAGAAATAAAGCACACGTCCATTAGTACACCCAGCCCTTCTTGGCATTATTGTGTTCCGAGTTCAACTTGCATCCCATGATCTTGATCTTGACTTTATCCATTAGACATGGTTCGGAGTGGTATTTGGTGGTGTTGGTACTGAGGCAACACGCTTGCCGCGTTCGGACCGGCTATTCTCGGCGAACTTGAGGCTTTGCTGGTGCATGCCCTTTTGCTTCTCCTCCTCATTCCACTCTGATGCATAATAGGATTCTTCTGTCGATTTCACTACGTCCTTCGATGCAGGAAAGAACATGCCCCCCATTGTGGGAAGTAAACCAAAGTCACAGGAAGAGTGCAACAACAAATCATAACACCCATCCAGGATAGACCTGCTGCTGTGGATAATCTTGAGCTTGAAAAGAATAATAATTGTGTCAATCCAGACCCAAAATTTCCACCTGCACCAGTAAGACCTGATATGATTCCCAACGATCGTCGAGAAATGAAGGGAATGATACCAAATGTTGCTCCACAAGCTGCTTGAGCTCCAATAGAGAAGAGAATCATTGCCACAACAGCAATGGGAAGTGAATTAGCACGGCCAAGCCAAATACAGAAGACTCCTCCAAGAGTTTGTAAAATCCAGAGCACCCATAATCTCCCTCTCATCCCAAAGTATCTTCCTGCTAAGTCTGAAGAATATCCACCGAAAGGTCGAGCTAGAATGTTAGCCATACCAAAGGTAGCAGCAATGACACCAGCTGTGTGAAGCTTTAGATCGAACCTATTATATATGTAAGAAAAACTTTTGATTAGTTCATATATCATATGAGACTACTAGGTAAAAAGGTGCATGTGATTGGTTCAAGCATTACCTATCATAGAAGTACTCGGCGATAACATTATCGGTGGATAATTCAACTCCCATGGAGTAGCCATAGAGAAGGACAAAGATCCAGGTCCTATAGTTTGTAACAGCATACCATAGTACCTGAACAAGAGATCAAACACATTGAATAATTAAGATTTAATGATCTTTCTGAGGCATGAGCTTTTAATGGAGAGTGGATATAGAACTCAAAGAAACTGACCTTGGAGAACTTATCTTTGGCAACATCACCCTTCTTCTGTAGGGCACCGAGATTCCCATCAGGCAAGTCTTGGCCTAGATTCAAGACCAAGATTCCCATGATAACATGAAGCCATCCTGGAATGAAAAATGCTATTCTCCAAGCACTGAATGGAGTTGAACCAGCTCGCTTGATCAGTTCGTAGACCATGGGCATTATGAGCTGAGTTGCACCTCCACCCATATTACCCCAACCGGCTGCAGTTCCATTGACAAGTCCTATAATATTGCTGTTAAACATGGTGCTCATCCAGTACTGGCAAGACACAAAGGTTGCAAGAGAGAATCCAATCATGAAACGGACGGCTATGTATCCTCCAGCTGAGGACACAAACGACATGCAAAACACAGTTGGGGCTGAGAGCATGATCAGAAAAGCACAACCATATCGTGGCCCCAGGAGGTCACAAACTGCGCCCATTACAAGCCTGGAGAAGATGCTCCCAGAGACAGAAGCAACCCCAGCATTACCAATGTCACTTTTGGTTAAATTAAGGTTGTCCCGAATAATGGGAACGAGGGGTGCTGCGGCAAAAGTGGAGACAAAACAAACGGAGAAGGATATCCAAGAAAGGTGAAATGTTCTCATGTGAGGCTTAGCCAAAGAGAATACTTTGAGCACTTTAGCCTTGTGCTCAGAATCAACTGGCAATGCAAATTTTGCTGTTGTATCTGTTGGGACCATAGGAGAAGCAACAGAGAAGGCAAAGGTTTGTTCTCTGCCTGTCACTCCATGCATGGAGCTACCTGGGGATCCTTCAATATCACCCATTTTGTAATTTTCACTCCGTTTCAGAAAGAGAAGGAGAGACACAGAAGAAATGAACTGCTGAAGCTGCTTTGATGTTGTGTAAAGAAGGAAAAGGGTATGGTATTTATATTGTGTCAAAGGTTGACATTTGTGAGTGTATATGTACTTAAATTTATACTTTTAATTATCTGTAAGGGCCAAATGAGATTCCATTGGTTGAGAAATTGTCAAAGAAATCAATTTCTATATAATCCACTTCGCCACATCTGGTAATGAACAGGAAAAGTCTCATGTTATATCCCAAAGGATACATGGCCCACCAGTTCTTCTGTAACTCACCTCCAAGAGGTAACCTGGCTGGTAAGGTTCTTCCGTCATGATGTCCTACCTATGATGTCCTACCTGCTTTAACTCTCCCAAAAAAGCCTACTTTGTTCCTACATAAAACCTCACGCTGTTAAAAAATCGGTAACACATGTTTTTTTTCATAAATTCCTTCCATTTCCAAAGAAACTGTGTTCATACAAATTAAAAAAATTAAGTTATTAATTGCTATATTATATAAGTATTTTTTGTTTATATTTTTTTAAATACCTTTTTTAAGGAAAAAAACTGCATTTAAACATTTTTTTATAAAATAGATTTTAATTAAAAATATTTTAAAAAATATATCACTTAAAGTTTTAAAGTTTTGACTGAACAACTATTTTGAGACATATATATAAATAAAAAGATAAATCATCTCTTTGATACAAAGAGAATAATTTTAGTTAAATTAGATTAGATTAGAAATCACTAATGACCCATTGATTTAAAATATAGTAGATCATAACATATATTATTATTTATTATATATATATATATTGCATGATAATGGGGTTAAGTAGTCTTCTTCTTCTTCTTTTTCCTAAGGAGATTAGATTAATTTCTTCTCGAACCGTGGTCATATAGAGTAGACGACATCCAATATGATTCAATACGAATGACTCTATTGGCCTGTTAAAAGCCACAATTAACAGATTAATTCACAGGACTACTGTAAGCTTTCTTTGATTAATGATCGAAGTGCTGATCACCTCATTGCTTGTTGATTGATGTTGATTTTCCACTTAATTATGGTGTTTTACTCTTCCAAATTTGCTTCCTGGCATCCTTGATGGATCCATCGATTAGAAGTGGCATAGCCACCCTTGTGTAATTTATTTAACCGACTTCAATTCTTGAAAATTGCAAGTCGACCAAGCCTCAAATAAAATTTAAAGTATTCCTCCTATCATCATCTTCAATTCCAAATCACCTGTTGCAAGCACGCCCTTTATGAAGGTTTTTTTGTCATCTTTTATTCAAGTTATTAAATGCCCATTATTTGGTTTGCCTTGGCCTACATTCTCTTCCAACTTATTTGGTTAAAGGTAACATATATTATTATACCACAAGTGCTATTTTCTCCCCTCCTCGTCGTACACTTGCAAGGTTGATGGAGGCAGAAAAAAAAATATCATTTAAGCTTGCAGTACCCTTTCAAAAGCTCTTAGAGTTTTTTGGTGTATTATTTTCGGGACACAGTTGGGACAAGACGACTTTCTTAATTTTATAGTTTGATTGGGGATCAACCTTGAAAACCTGTGCAATATTTTAAAGCTTGCAAATTATGAAATGATGAGTCTTTGTTCACATCTTATAAGAGCTCTTGTTTTTTTAATGTCTATGCTTATAAGAGCTCCATTATAAGACCTTGTATTGATCAAATTGCTAAGTAGGAATCCGAAAAATATATATACATATAAAATAAGAGAAGAATTTGGGCATGTTTATTTGTTGAATAGCACAAATGAGTTCAAGAAAGGATAATAATGGTGTCACTAACCGTGATTATTGATTTATGTGTTTGAGTAAACTCCACATTTTACTTAAAAAATTAATTGGATTAGTCATGGAGATCATGATTTATGTACTTTCCGATCATTACAAAGATGAGACCAGAAAACCTAGATTTTAGTTGGATGCAAGTACTGTCAGCACCAGAGAAACTGAACTTGTTTTTGAAATATTTGATCGTTGCTTGGGAGTTGGGACTCGCAATTATTAAAAGGTTTTTAGTTTTTTGTTTTATAATCTTCTTCAAATTAGAGAATGCAAAACATGCTTTGGAACTCATTCAACAGGTAGTAAATTACCGTGTCATGTGAACTAGTGCTTAAAAGGGCCACAGAAAGATTTAGGATCGAAAGAAGTAAACTGTAAATTCCATTAGAGCTAGCAACTATAGAAAAGAACAAAGCCCAAAAATCTAGTTTTGCCGCGGCCATGTTTTCAAATAACAACGGAGGTTGAAACTAGAAACAGGGCGAACTCGTTGAAGCATGAGATGGCCAGTTCTGCACTTCCATCCCAACTACAAATGAGCAAGTAAAGAATGAAATCAATTTATGGTTGTTTTCTTTATCGTTAATTATGGTAAACACGAACTAAGAGCTGCTAAGAAAATAGGTGAGATGAGATTCGATGGTTTAAATTTTATAACCCATCACAAGGCATCTACTCGCTGATGAGAAGATATTGACCCATGTAAACCAAACTCCAAAACAGCAGAAACAATTTAGGAATGCAGATGATGTGATCACATCTAAGTACGGCCTTATCAATCCAACACAGAAGAACTCATAATATAACCCAACATTATCTGAAGAGGATAGACTATAGACTATGGACACACAGCATTGCATTGGCCAAGACATGTATATACTAATGCGCGGACTAATTCATTTCATAACATATGATATCCATTGTACGGTTGACTTCAGAGACAATGTAGAGATCAGGTACTTTCAGTAAGGACAGGCAGTTCAGATTATCAAACAGCGTTCTATCGAATTGTGGGCAAGCTATTTCTCCAAATGTAGACAATGCTCTATCAATTTAAGAAACTTATCATGAAGATAATCATGCGGCTTTCAACTTCCTTATTCCCTTCATGAAGCCTAGGTGGTAGCTGAAAGAGCAACACTTGGTAGCCACATAACCTTCTAGAAATACAATAAAACTAGACATCATGAGTACAATGTTGTTCTATTCGCAAAGCAGAGCCATTCCTATCAAAATAGAGCATTTCAAAACCACAAATGCGCATATCCATGTGATAAAGCAAATTTTCAAGTTTCATAGCACAAACCAGCTCCATTCCATCATGATTGTTGAAGAGAATATGAATGGAAACTTTACAAGTATAGCAAATCTACCATTACAATTCAAGTGGAGAATTTTAGAGTTCAATAGAGCAAATCTGCTTCCATAAGCTGCTGTGATGTGAGGCAATAAATATTCTCGCTTTGGCTAATCTCATATTAGAGTGTATCGCAGCCAATTCCATCACAGCAAGGGCAAAGAAAGAAAATCTAATGAAGGTTTACTATATACGCATGCTAAGTGCTGGTACTACCCCTCCTTTGAACAGGTTTGTATAGCACAACAGTGACAAATTTTGAATGGAAGCGATGGGTGAATCCGAGTGCCACCACAGAACGTGGAGCCTCCCGGTTCTCAATGTAAAGATGGTTGAGAATCACATTCTGTGGCAGTGGAAGGGTTTCAGAAGTGTCTGCACTTGCTGGGTAGCTAAGCAAGGAGTGTTGCAGGTGTGGAGGCACTGAGGGTGGGTCCCGTACCTCATCTTCATTCCCTGGGTAGGCATTGTTGTAACTTGAATCAGGTGATCTAGGAACTTCAAATCCCACAACAGTTGCTTCTTCCTGCACCACAATCAAATTATCTAGGTCCCAATATAATATCAAAAGCCCCAAAGCACTTAGTTTCCTACTTACATGATCTTCACTATATTGGTTGCTCATGTTGAAAATGACACAGCACAGCAGATGATTAACAACACAAATTCATCAATTCTGCAATGCTCTTAAACCTGAAAACATAACAATCCCCACATAAGCATCTTAAAACTGTAATAGCAGCATCCAAATATGTGTAACTATTTCTCACCATTAAGATTCAGAGAAGCAAAGCCTTATTTTATTTAAACAATCTCAAATTCGCTAGGCACAAAATCATTTTCTATATCTCAGTATTCATGCTCATGACTTTCGATTAGGAGTCTTAGCAACAAACTTTCAGCTAACCTCCCAACACATCCATTTCAAAACTTTCCCACAAAGGAGATGCTCTAAGCATTCCGCAGACAAGTCAAATCAAGTTCTTTAACACGGGTGCCAATACATATAACCAAAAAACCACCTTCTATTTGCATGCTACACATTTTCACTTTGTGAACCAAAACTATAGCCAACAATCCCGTCAATCAATTAACAAACAGTCTACTTAATACCCATTTGAATGGTCATCAATTTCCATATCAGCAAATTTCATTAATTTTAAACACAAGCCATAAAAGAACGAGCATAGAAATGTTACCCTTTGCTTAACGAAAGTAACACTAAATAAACTCGAAATGAGATAACACTAACATTGAGCGAATAAATCACTGTTTCCCAAAAAACCCATCCCAAGACAAGAACCACATTAAAAAAAAAAATTCAACTGGGTATAGTCATTCAGCACAAAGAATCAGAATAAAAAATAATAATTCCATTCTGGGCTCAAAAAGAAAAATGAATTGAATAAGAAAATTTTGAAACCAGAAAGAAAGAAATCTGTAGCTGAAAAGCATGCTTGAAAAAGAAACAAAAAGAGAAGTCTACCTTGATAAAGCTGATGATGAGAATCAATCTTCGATCTGAACTTGAAGGGTAATCAAGGAAATTCAAATAAAAGTGATACAAGTAGCAGTGGAGAGTAGATGATTAGTCGCTGGAGTTGCCGTCAGCCTTCAATTTTTGAACTACAAATTTATACAGTAGAACCCTAAGGTCGTTGAGATGACAAGGTGACGTTGCTATTGCTGTTGCTGTTGCTGCTGCTTGTGCAGACAGACTGAAACGGAAAAGACTGAATGCCCCGATATGAACTATTATATATTTGTCTGGGTAAAATTGTAATAGCATATTCATACCAAAATAAATAAATCGGAAAATACTTTTTTTTTATATATATAAATTAAGGTAAATTTTAATATGCTTCCCTAGGTTCACCTAAATTTTTTTATTTGTTTAGCCCTCTTATCTTTTCATTGCTGTTCCAATTAGTCCTCTTTTGTTTATTTTGCTCCAATTTCCCTACTTCATCAATTTCCACCGAGAATATCAATAGAAAATGTGTGTAAATTTTAATTTTATTACTAAGATTTATGAAATATCTCACTACCAGCTAAAAACTAAAGAAAAAATTAAAATAATAAAAATAAAAACAATAAATCAATTGAAAAATATATTTTTTATACTAAAACAAATAAGATAAAGCTTGAAAGGATTAGTTTTTCCAGAAACACTTCAATTCTCACTTAACATTGCCATCTTTTTCTTGTTATTACCATAATTAAATAACAATTAAGATTCAAATTTAATTTTCAGTGATGTCAAACTTATCCCACTTTCATTTTACTCTTCCAAGTTCCAATCATATGAGATTTCAAATTTTTATTTTATTTTATAACTCTTGCTCAGATTTTACAATAGATTTTTATACATAATCGGACAAAATGTATATATAAATATACTAAAGTAAAATAAAGTAAAACGATGAAATGACAAAACAATTCTAGAAGAAAATTTACCTCCATTTATTTTTTATTTTTTACTTTTTTGTTAAATATAAAATGTACTTTTAGCAATGTAAAACAATAAAAATATTTTTTTATATTTCATATTTGGTTAATTTCAGAAATTTATTTATTTTATTATAAATTTAATATAAAATAAATTTTTTTAGTTAATAAGCATAAGTTTTTCATGATAATTTTTATTTGAATGAAATAAAAGTAATATTTTTTAGAGGAAAAAACATGTTCTTTCTTTGCGAGGTCCGAAAATGGAGAACATATAGCAGTCTCTGAACATATAGCAGCTTCTGAGCACAACGAATCGAAGCCGAAGATGGATCAAGGTAGCTTGCCTGCAAACCGATAGGTGAAGTGCCGAAGGATAGAGCGTGCAAAGTCGATCGTGGACCTGTCTTGTGACCTGTTGGCCTTAAGAAATTGTCTGACGCGAAACGACCCACCTAGAAACTAACTCTCCTTTATGTTTTAGGGGGTGGGCTGCTATGGATTCTATGGCATCTTCTCCCGCATTCATTTGCTCTCCTCGAACCGTGTTTCAACAACATTACGGAGTATCAAGCCCTGATTATGAGAATGGAGTTGGCAATCCGAAGACTCGAAGTCAGGGGCGATTCCCTTCTGGTTGTAAACCAAACGGACAAGGTTTATGAAGTAGGAAACCCGATCTTGTACACCAGAGGGAAAAATGTTCTGCACAAGTACAAAAAAATAAGATAACTATTATAAATTACGGTTTCGATTTTTTTTTCAATGAAGAATGAAAATTTTATTCTATTTCTTTGTTTTTTAAATATAAATTGTAGTTTTTTTTTTTCTAGGTTAGAGAAGAAGAGAATTGTTAAGTTATTAGGTTGAGTTACGATATATTTTTAATTATATTTTATATTTTCTCAGAAAAGTATATATATATATATAATATAGAAAAGAAAATGGAAGTAAATTTCCTTCTTTTTTTATGCCGTTAGTGTCACGTCATCATTTAATATCCATGTCATAATGTGCCATCTTATCATTTAAATGACATATCATTGATATTTCTATGTTATATATGCTATCTCTAAAAATATCACTTAATTATTACTATTTGGAGAGTATACACATCCATTTAAAAAAAATTAAATTAAATGTCAAAATTTCAAAAGATGCACCCTTATTGTGCTATCATCTCGCTATTTTTATTTTTATTTTTTTTTTTTTGGTTTTTCTTGGTCTATGAAAATTCAGGCTGATCAAGCAGCTGGGTTTTAATTGTGTTGGGCTTTTTCTATATTGAATATTGGGCTCAAAGGCATTATCATTTCTTTCAATCTATGTCCATGTTCTTGTAGTCTATAGGGCCTAATCGGAGCTGGTTTTCTTTTACAGGAATTAGGAGGTTTGATGCAGTTCCAAAGGAACTATGGACTCTTTTACGGGCCGACTGTATGGGTCTTCCTGCCCCTAGGGTTTGTCTTGCTTAGTTCTCTTTGTTTTCGGGCTTTGGGCCCCTTGTAACACCAATAATATATCTAGTTTTGATTAGATTTGGGATCATTGTCACTCTTCAAACTAAATCCTGTGATGACTTCTGAGTATTGATCCACTTTTTCTAAATTTTGCAGAATTTGGAAGCTTTGTCTAACAAGTCAGGTCTGCTATTTTTCTCTTCGTCTCCCTTTTATCATACTTTGAAATATATTTTGCTGAATTATTACCAATTTTTTTTGTAATAAATTAGGTTATCTCTTCCTGCATAGCTTAGTAGCCTGTAATATCTTCTAGCGTAGTTTGCTTGCTTCCAAGTAGCGTGGGTAAATGTTTTTCACTGTACTCAGACAAGAATAGTTTGTGGAGTTCTGTTGTTAGTTTAGTCTTTTGTCTTTTGGTGTGTTTGGATGCAGAAGAAATGTTGATACTATTTTCGATACTTTCCATAGTACTTCACTCTCTAATCAACGAACAGACTGCGGCTTTATTGTTCTGATCACTTTGTATCTTCTAGTAATTAGTTTGAAGGCTGTGTTTTCTTACAGCTTGTGTCTAAGAACTTTTGAAGTTAACTGTCGAATCAATTTCATGTAACACAGTGTGGAAATAGGAAATTAGTTTTAATCTGCCTCGGGATCTTTTCATCCTTCTTCCTTTTGCCTTTTGAAGTTGTTTTATTTTATCTCTATTAAACAAGACTTTAATGTTGTTGTTTCATATGCTTTGCCTTACTTCTAGTGGTACATATATATAGTGTGTGTGTGTGTGTGTGTGTGTAAATTGTGGTTGAGTCAGAGGTCAATCGTATCAAGAACTTCAACGATCAAATACTGTAAAAATAGGAAAAGGAGCAGCCTTATTTGCAAAAGATTTTCTTGTTTCTCTGTCACCTGTTTGCTCAATAATGCCAGATACAAGTGTTAACTCAATAGTATTCATTGCTCTCACTCTTGAGGAACTTCATAAATCATAAATTCACTGATGGTTGGGGATTCAGAGGAATTCCTCTATGCCTTAAAGATGATAGAAAATGTTGCTACTACTAAAGTCTCCTTATGATCTTAGATGAGATCCTTGCATGATGAGGTAGATATCGATTCTCAAGAAGACGAGAACAGCTATTAGAGTCCACGAGTAAGTAACATTCAGAACGTATCAAGTTCTTCGGTACTCATTTATTGAGATGATATCTACTTTAGCAATACCTCCATTAGATTCCAATTACCATTTTCTGTAAACTTCCAATGCAAACAGCAAGAGAATTGAATGAGTTATTGAATCATGTGAATTTCATGGGACAAAATAAATTTTTATTTTGTTTTTCAATTTAAAAGTCTAATTTGAGTTTGAATCGTGTTATTGTGCTCTTAGTAGCTGAAATGGAGGGGTGATGATTAAATTGGCCTCTCAGAAGAACACAAGATTGACATTTTCCTGCTTCTCTCTGATATGTGTTTGCTTGTTTTGTAGTCTTTGCCTACTGCTGAACATGGAATTCCAAAATTTATTGTTGTTTTGCTGTTAGAGTCAGGAAAGTCAACGAATGACAGTTTCGAAGAGATATGTGTTGAGGTTGTTTATATCATTGAAATATATTACAGCGAATGTGGTGGACAGAAACAACGGAAGGATCGTTGCAACAGCATCAACAGTTGAACATTCCATAAAAAATACACTTGAGTGTGCTAGGTCTTGCAATGCCAAAGCAACTTCAGTTGTTGGAGAGGTATTGGCTTTGAGACTCAAGGTGGAGGGTCTAGAAGAGGGACAGGGAAGAGGAATTCATGTCGATCTAAACAAAGAGATTGAGAAAAAGGTTTCCAAAACCGCACCAAGATTTGGGCCACTGTTAATGCTCTTAAAAACAATGGCATTAAAATTATTTTCGAAGATGATGGTAATGCTTCTAAAACAAAATTTCATGACAGAAGTTCAGTTTTCTTTTTTGACAATGTGTAAATAGCCTGAATACTTTTTATCAGGAAAAAAAATTTTAAATCGCCTTTACAACTTTCTTGCCAATCTCAGGATAGTGGCAGACACGAGGGAGTGCCAGGGTTGCGAGAAGAGCCAGAATCCATGCAGGATGTTACTGTTCATTCACTGGCAAAGACATGTTATGGCTCGAGATTAGGAGTTATTCCTCAGTAGCAGGCAAACACATCCGAGGTTCCAAAGTTATAGCAGCATCTGGATGGCCTTCTGTTGACCTTGTCCATTCTACGAGGTTTTTGTATTATCCAATCAGCGATGTGAGTCCACTGGTATTGCCCAGAGGAACGTTAAAACTCAACTCTTTCTATCCTGTCTTTTGCTTTCTTTCTTTCTTTCTTTTTTTTTTCCCCCTGTTGTTGAATGGTAATTATGCATTCCCTAGCTGTGGTGCTCTGTGGGAGATGTTAATGAGATTGCCAATACAATGGTCGGTGGTTTTCAAGGCACCCATTTGTGAGCCAATACATTACCGGAGCCAAATCAGGGGTTTCCGTTAACTCATGTTGTGTGGTTTGTTGAATTGTTGTCTTGTGCACGATGGACCCTGACGTGGTTAACTATTTTATTTTCCTCACCAAATCCGATGCCAAGACCATCTGTTCAGGCTCAGAGCAATAACATTTCAACCTCCACTTTGAACTAGCTGAGATTATCTAGCTTCATTTTGACTTTTTTAATTGTAAACAAAAAAAGGAACTCGAGATCTCTTACCAGAAGGTATGAAAATGGAGGATGGTAAAAACCTGTTTCGATCAGTGCTATTAAATTTGGACTAGACAGGTTAAGCCGATAGAAATCTGGTGGCTCGGCCACATAATTAGTATGAGTTGACATTCAAAGCCAGATGTGTAAGAGATCTAGTCAAAACCAATCAAATCAGACAAAATCCGACCGGTTGGACGAGTGAGTCACATTGATTTTTTTCAAAATGAAAATCCGTAACTTAAAATCTTAAATTTTTAAAATTATGTATTTATCACTATTTTTTTTTTTATAATTCGTATACTGCAAAATATATTTATATTATAATGTAAGCGAGTCATTGATCGGGCAAATGATCCCATGATCCAGTAACTTGACTAGAGGATAGTCCGACCGGATTTAATAACATTGGTTTTGATGACTCATTCAAAATGGGACCAGGCGAAACTTTGGTATTTTTCTCCATTCATAAATACTATAGTTTTTGCAAACCAGCGCAAGGTTATGTCCCACATGGGGTTTGGGCGGCGGTTCTGGAAATTGCCGGCAAGAAAATTTGCTGGATAAATAGCCAATTATGTTGCTGTACTCTTTTATCACTTGAATTTATTGCTGAGAAGTATATAATAATTGTGTGACCTGGCAACAGGGACGATACATGTACCATTTATTTTCAAATGGGGCATTGGCCTATGGAAGAAGGACCAGCATGTCTGCCTCACCACATACGTTGATGTTGTAAACTTTGGAGTACTGTACTTTGTACTCAGCTTCGCTAAATTATCCCATCTGATGTCCTTTAACTCGTATTCCATAATTCAAGCTAAATATGATTTATAGTTTTTGCTTGCAGTGAGCATAGATTAATACTCTGATATTAATCTTAATTTCCAAGCAACCATATTAGTTTTAGCATTTTCTTCTGAATTTATTAGCTATCAAGGATTTCTCTACATTAATTTAGTGCTTGATTTAAATCTGAGGCATACACAAAGCTTCTCATAACTATTATATTCCCTTAGTAATATGGTTTATACCATAACTTATATTGAACTTAATAGCTTAAACAAATATTGAGTTCGAACCCTAGCAATTTTTTCTCGTTCGTAATTAAAACAGGATAATATGATAATCTACATGACAGGGCAGACTTAATTAAATTACCAAATCCTCACATATTGCAGGACTATTGTCTATCCTTTTCGAAGTCGTATGTGAACTTGTGAAATCCTTCAAGTGGCAGGAAAGAAAGTGGTTTTGATAACTTCCATGGGATATAGATGAAGTAAGAAATTGATGGAAATTCAGGACAAAAACCTGTACAATAGCATGCCATACATTAATCGTATACTGTCCAAATTAATAGCATCATGTTGGCGTAGTTAAATAAAGTCCTTCTATATTTAAAAAGATTGGCTTTAATAAAAAAAATTCTAATTATTTAAATAAACGATCCAAGTTTGAGTTTATATTTAAAATGATTGGATTGAAAATAAAGAATTTTATTGTTTAATTGAATGATTTCGATTTTAAATTTTTATATATTTAAAAAAAATTAAATAATTATGTTTGTTTTATACGTTCATTATAATGATTAGGAATTAATTTATATTTTTAAATTTAAAATATATTAAATTTTTTTAAAAAAAACCCTTTTATTCCAACAATAATTTAGTAAGCTACGCAATATATTACTCAAAATAGGGGGGAAAAATTACAAATTTCAACTACCTATATCTGGGTTCTCCTTGGTGAGGCAGCCATGTTAACTAGCATGCTGCCTCTTGAACACACTACCAAGTGTAGACCGTTTTTGATAATGTTATAGCTTTTGAGAACTTTGAAGAAGTGGCTAGGAGGGCAACTCTTACCGCAAAAATATCCGATGACAGCTCTCTGCGTGATCCCACAGACAAGCTTTCGTTGTCACTAGGAAGTGTGGTGTTCCAATCATGCACTTTTTGCACATTTTACTGCCTAGCTCATCGACGTGGAAACCCTTTTTCAGGTGCTGATGAGAACTCTTTTTTTTCTTTCTTTTTTTAACATCCTGAGGATATATTCGTGATCGCATAACATTTATGCGACAGTGATTTACGGGGGTTGGTTTCTCGTACTATCTGCCTTATTTTTTTTATAAAATAAAGGCACAGCTAATTAATTAATTATCAAATATTCTGATGTCAATAACAATAACATTAATCTGAACACTTCAAGCTTTGAATGTTTAAACTTCAAGGGAATTAATGACAGCGTATTGGAATATATATATATACGTACACTTTGGAATTGAAATCATTTCAATGGGTTAATGAAAATATTTGGAAACCAAGATAGAGAAGTACATGTTTTTATGAATGTAGCATGAATCTTTAGTAACCAAGGGAACAACTTCTTGGGGTACGGTTCTTCAATTCAACTGTTAATTAGTCCATATGTAAGGTAAAGTGGCAAGAATTCAACAACTAATCATGGATACAGGGAGAAACTAAGGATGATAAATGTTTGCTTTGAAAAGTCAGGCAACTCTTGTTATGTTTTTATCATCATCTTGTAAATCTAAAGGTGAAAATGAAAAAAGGTAATGTAATACCGTCATCACCAACAGCATCCATTTTGGCAGGGGCAGCTTCAACGAAGCATAGCAGCACCTTTTATTATTAGAATTTCACTAAACAGGTGACATAATTTTGTCATCGTTATTTATTAAAAATCTATCGCTATATGTAATTAATGATAGATTAGAGACAATATGAATTCCGTCGCTAATATGGTGGTTGATAGTTTTTTAGAAATTGAATTTTTCTTTCCGCGCTAATTAATGAGGGATATTGTTGACATTTCATCACTAAATCGATCTAAATCAGTTGTATCTAATGTTTCATTTTCGTCGCTATTTTCGCTTAAATTCATCAATATATAGAGACATAAAGGGTTATCGCTAAATTATAGTCGCTAATATTCTCATAATTTCGTCTTTAATCCATCGTCGCTTAGCAATCGCATACGTATCCGTCGATAAATTCATTGCTAATTTTTTTTAAAAAAAATTAAAAGTTGTTTATAGGGAATTGTAATAACAAGCAACTATGAACAATATCTTATTAAAATACGATATATTATTTAATAAAATTAAAATTGTATAAATTGAAATAAAATAATTAAATATATAAATGAGTTAAAATGTATAAAAACATTTAAAACTTTTTTTAAAAAAAATTAGTCCTCATTATCATCATTGTCTACATCATCTTCTAGCTACTGGTTGATGAGAGAAGGGACCGATTGCTAGAGTGTATAAATTGAAATAAAATAATTAGACTATATAAATGCTTTAAGATGTATAAAAACATTTTAAAAAATTTTAAACCAAAAAAAAAAATTTAATCTTCATTATTAACATCTTCCGCATTATCTTCTAACTATTGGTTATTGAGAGGAGTGATCGATTGCTAGGTTATGAGAGGGTCGATAGGAGAGACGAAAGGCGATTGAAGATTTTCGTAACCATCCCATAATTCTCTACAACTAAGTTTGGATGTTGTTAACTTGATTGGCCTACTTAACTGAGTCTGCATTATCTCTTTATTTAGTTTGGGTGGTATGTTGGAGACTTTGGCTATGACAAAATGATGCTATTTTTTGCCCGAAGCTTCTTTTTCAACTAACCTACTGTTTTGCTTGGACTCATATGCAACAGAAATAGTAACTTTTAATTTTGTATTATCTTCACTCAATTCTACCATGACCAAAAAGAAAGAATAACTTATTCGGTCGAAGTTTCCTAAGAAAGAATTTGTGAAGCTTAACCCAGATGGTTTAATTGTTGCTATCATTGGTTTGGTTTTAGTAGGAGGGTTGACTTGGGATCTTTCAGGTAATTGGATGTATAACTTTACTTATAACATTGGCATTTGTTTAATGTTGAATGCAGAATTGTGGAGGATCTTGATTGGCCTAGAGGTGGTCAGGAATAATGAGTTCAGAAAGGTTGAACTTAAGGTTGATTTTAAAGTGATTATTGACCTTTTGATTAATAAAAATCATTTGACATCATCTTATAGTTAGTCAATCGTTTTCATCTATCAATTATTGCCACATCCTTGAAAATTTTGATTTCATCACATCTATCTTGAGGAAAATAGATGTGCAAATTGATTAATTAATTATGCTCATTCTCTAGACGTCGAAATTTATTATTTTTCAAAAGCTATCATAGGTTGTTTTAAGTCTTGTATTAGAAAATATTTGTGAGATTTCCTTCCCCAATATGACATAAATGTATTCTTTTAAGGCACTACCCACCTTCTAAAAAAAAAAACCTTCTATTTCAACCATAAATTAGTGAGCTACACAATATCGTTTCAAAAGGGCAAAAAAAAAGGTTAAAAATTTCAACTACCACGAGGTTCTCATTGATGAGGCAGCCATGTTAACTAGCCTGCTCCCTCTCGAACAATCTACCAAGCGTGGACCGTTTTTGATAGTGTTATCGCTTTTGAGAACTTTGAAGAGGTCTGTAGGAAGGGCACATGTTATGCGAAAATATCTGATGACAGCTCTCTGCGTGATCCCACAGACAAACTTTTCTTCTCAACACGAGGTGTGGGGTTCCAATCATGCACTTTTTTGCACCTCTTTCTTCCCAGTTCATCAACCCGGAAACACTTTTTCAGGTGCTGACGAGAATTTTTTTTACATCGTGAGGCTATATTTGTGATTGGATAACATTTATGTGATGATGAGTTATGGGGTTGGTTTCTCTTCCTATCTGCCTAATTTTTTTTATAAAACGAAGGCACAGCTAATTAATTAATTATCAAATATTCTAATGTCATTAACAGTAACATTAATCTGAACACTTCGAGCTTTGAAGGTTTAAACTTCAAAGGAATGACAGCATATATATATATATATATACACAGACCTTGGAAATAAGATCATTTCACTGGGTTAATGATAATATTTGGCAAACTAAGATAGAGTAGTAGTGGACGTTTGTAATTAGGAATGTAGCATGAATCTCTAGTAACGGAGGGAACGACTTTTGGAGGGTACGGTTCTTTTTCAATTGTTAATTAGTCCATATGCAAGGTAAAGAGGCAAGAATTCAACCACTAATCGTGGATATAGGAAGAAACTAAGGATGATGAATGTTTGCCTTGAGAAGTCAGGCAACTGTTGTTTTGTTTTTATGATTATCAGGTACAGATAAGTTGATCGCTAATGAACATGTATAATTATCTTGTCAATTTATATATGTATCGATAATGGTTGGTAGCATATAAGTGACAAATCGAAGATTGTAGTACACGTACTACTCCACGCCCAGGGTACACATCGAGTATATGCAAAGTACTTACTAGCATTAATTACAGAACAAATTTAGAAGGTAAACTTCATTTTTGCTCTATAAATCCATTAATATTTCATTTCTACCCTGAAATTTAAAATTTTTCACTATTACCTTTTTATTTTTCAAAAAATTCCAATGTTACCTCGATCATTAAATGGCGTTTTTGTTTTTGGGTTTTAAGTGTTTTGTGAGATTTTTTTAAAAACTATATATATATTGGAGAGGAAAAAAATTAATGAGAGAAAAGTAAGATAAAAAATAAAGAAATATATATATATAATTTAGTTTTTTGTTACCTATTTACTAATAAAGGGAAAATTTCAAACTTTTCAAGAAATGTAGGGGTAGCAGCATTGGAAAGTTTTGAATTATAGGAGTAGAATTGGAAGTTTGGAATATTGATGAATCTATAGATATAATTTAGGGGCGTTTGTTTTGCATAAAACATTTCAATGAATAGAAAATATTTTACATGGATTTTACACGAAAAAAGTTTTATGATATTTAATAAGTAATGATTTGAAAAATATAATGATAATAATGTTTTGTTGTAGTTGTGAAAATGATGATAGTGAAGTTGTGGTAGTAGAGAGGTGGGGGTAGTGGTGGTGGAAAGGTGACAATGGTAGAATGGTGGCAGGGGTGGGAGATGATGGTTGTGGTGGTTAAAATAATTAATTTTAATATTATGAGTAAATTACTATTCATATAATATTTTATGAAACTTTAATTTATGAGTTGAAAATATTTATAAAATATTTTCAACAAATGAAATAATTTTAAAAATTAATTGTAAAATATTTTACGTTCATCAGGTTTTTTTTTGTGAAACATTTTACAAAAAAAAACAAACACAAAAATTTTAAGACAATATTTTCTTATAAAATATTTTTTGCAAAAACAAAAACTTTGTTAAAGTATAAATTATTCAATTTTAAATAAATATTGCAAACAAGAAAAAATAAATAATAATGCACCATTTACTAATTTATCCAACTCATTCAAAGCCAAGCCAAGATAGAGGGCATGCATCGCAGTTGTGACAAATTGGTTCCATTCTACCCCTCGCCCCACCCCTTCCCAATTAATTAATTAATTACCAGACGTACTTGCCAGTGTTTCAAGCGGAGATATGGCCGGAGATGGACGGTACATGCGGCAAGCAGGGTCCATCCATCCATCCATATAAATATCTGCTTTGATTTACTATAAAATTATTCATGCTTTAATTTCATATTAATTTTATGTGAGAAAGAGAAGTACAGTTATCGAATAAATATTAATTGTAGATTTTATGTTCTATAAAAAAAATATATATATATATATATATATATATATATATATATATATATATATATATATATATATATATATCAAACAAAATAACCAGTAATTATATCTATCTATCGTTAAATTATGATCCATTAAATTTATGGATTAATTATTAATTAAATTGGTGCGATTAATTGTTACTTTTGGTATACGATAGATTATGTTTGGACTCCTTAGTATAATGATTTAGAAATATTATTTATTATTATGGTCTGATCTTTTTTCACGTCCTAATTTTAAATTAAAATAAATAAAAATTTAGAGGTGGTCATTTGTTCTATTGAAAATTATGCTTAAGTTTTTGAAAAATAAAACCGATCCTTATAACTATTAATTGTATATTTTTATTTATATTCTTAAAGATCAAATTTGATTTATGACATTATAACTTCTCAAGATAGCTAATTTATTATTAATCATGTGTTATAATTTCTAGGATACTGATCCTAAAATTTAATTACCACAACAATTTAAACTTCTCCCAGCAACAAGCATTTCTTCTTGCTCCCTTTTTTTTTTTTAATAATAATAATAAACAAAATAAACACACATATGCATAAGAAAAATCATCAATAGCTTATTTTACATGCATCGAATTTCAGACAATTATCAGCTAGGAAGAGACTTGCATCACGACGTATAGAACATCAACATATAATAATGGAGGCTGTTTATTACGAGCAGCATGTTTTGCAACTCGGAGCACATACTAAAATATCCTCGATGGATCGCTAGCGAGTTGTCCGATTCTTTGTTAAAATTGAGTTGCTTGCTCGGGAATCATATTTGTCAAGTGGGGTGAGATGAAAAGTTGAGCTTAGGGTTTGCTTTAACTTCTGAACACCTTAAACTACTTCCTCTACAACCATAAGAAAATACAATATCGTCATCAAGTACACTTTCTGAGCACCACTATTTTGCCGGGAAGCGTATCTAGAATCTTCTTGAGGATATTTGTGGGTCTGGCAAAAATAATAAGTGGGATAGCTATAGCCCACGTTCATAATATTGTATTCGGAGAGAAGACATGGTAGACAACGGCTATCCGAACAACTATTAATGGACAATTAAGATTATCCTGAGACTGTTAGCCAATGATAGGAGCATTTGCATCTCCTTTTCAATAGAAAATACACTATTAAATCGAAACAATTCATTTTGTCTAATCGACAACAACTACAATATTATCACATTTGTTCAACAGTAATCTTTCAATAATATCATAAACATTTACGTTTTAATCAAAATCATAAGTTTGTTGGCGATAAAAAGATGATGATATTGTCTTTCTCTTCATGCAACTTAACAAACTCTACAATTATATAAATAGTCATGAAACTTACAGTGAGGGTTCTTCTTCAAAAAGAATCATTTTTTAACATTATCATTATTTTCGTATTTGCACTACTACAGTTTCATATCATCATTCTCCTTCATACAAGATCTCTCATGGAATTAGAAGATTCATGTTATAAGTATTTCAACTATTATCATCGATTGATATATATATATATATATATATATATATATATATAAGTTTCAAGCATGTTAACAGAACTTCAAATTGTATTAATAAATTTTTTAACTTAAAAAAGAATGATGATGGTAGAAAATCAAACGTAACCACTAAAAGATGATTTCAATCTAAAAAAGTTAAAATGTTTCTCAGGATCTCCATCATGCGGTTTTCTATTACCTAACTAGCTATGAGAGGGCACATTTTTGTATAATTCTTTTATCTTCTCACTAAGACTAGAGATTTCTCGAAAATTTTCAAGGAAGTTAGACAAGAAGCAAAAGTGCACGACAATGCTACTAATCTGACTCTCAAGTATCGATAATTGGAAGGCAGACATGACTAGCCAAAAGGGACGTTTCATGGTTCAGTAGACACCCTCTCACATGCACTGGTCTCCCAATAAATGCGAAGTCAGTCCAACCTTGATCTATCTTCTCCATCCCTCACTCTCCCGTTGTAAATAGCCACTGTCCAATCTTATCTCTGACCCCTTTAGCTACCACTATATAAATGTAAGCTAACATGCTAACTACACACACCATTAACCTTGAATCAAAAATCATAATCCTCGTGCCGTTTCCATCATGGGTAAGCTTAGTGCTAGCAGCAAGAAAAAGAATGGCATTATAAAGCTCAAAATTGTAGCTAAGAAGCTACATAAGAGCCTGCTATTGATGGGAAAGAAAACAGCAAGTTCCTATAGGAATGAATGTGAAGAAATTAATGACTCAACATTTGTTCCCAAAGATGTTAAGGAAGGGCATTTTGCAGTGATAGCTGATGGTGAGGAACCAAAAAGATTTGTTGTCCCATTAACTTACTTAACAAACCCTATGTTTTTGAGACTCTTAGAGCAAGCAGCTGAAGAGTATGGTTTTGATCATGAGGGTGCCCTCACAATTCCTTGCCAGCCAAGCCAGCTGGAAATGATATTGGAAGAGCAACGGGAGGAAACAGGTGATGAGGCTAGTGCTGTTGGTGTCAGTTGGAGCTCAATTAGTAAGACAATGGTGCAGAGCTACTGAAGGAAATTAAAGAAGCTGCTTCGGTATCCATTTTTTGCTTGTTTTAGTTTTTTTTGTAAATGACTCTCTTGTTCATTTACGCATGACTAGAACTAGTGGTTTTAATATCCAAATCTTGCGCTATATATGTATTTGTAATTCTACATATATATGGTTTTACTTTTTATGGTCGATTATTTCAAGTAGAAATAATATCAAATTATTATATATGTTCATCACCAATATCCATATATCTAATTCATGTACTTTAGATAAAAATTGTTATTATGATTTTCCTTTTTCTTTTGGTAATCAATAATTACTACATTATGAATATATTAAAATGATGTCATGAGCTATTTGTTAATTAGGAGAAAAGGAATAAATTAATGCTTGATTTACCGATTTTTCAAACATTACCAGCTAATAGATAAAATGTAATCAAGAAATTTAGAAAGAAAACAAATTTCAGCTGAAAATCGGATTCTTTTTCTTTTACTATGATTTCTTGATCAATGCAAAAGTATTTAATATAAACTTTTATATTTCATTATCCAAAAATTTATCCCTTAATTTTTTCGGTTTTATTGTGGCCGTAGTTATAATTATGGTTACAGAAAAGAATTTTGGTTCTATAAACTGTTAAATATAATTTTTATATTTACACTTGATGCTTGTTAATTCGAGGAAATTGGCTTCCTTTTTTACCACCAAAATTTCACCATACTCTCTCTTATATTTTTCAGCAACTAAATATAGTAAAAAAAAGGTGAAATATCTTTACAAATAAAATAAGTAGTTTTTGCTTTTCCAAAGTTGAGTGGGTCAGTTGATCCCATGCAACTATAAGCTATTATTAGTGAGAATAAAAAATATATATATGTGTGTGTTATTAAACTTTAAAATCAGTCAATTAAATTCCTCTATATTCACATACTCTTCAAGTAGACTTTTTTGACACCCGTTATGATGAAAATGCCTCACAAAACAGCCAAAAAAGTTTTGATATTAAAAAATCTATCAAAATATTCAAAAAACTTGAAAAACCCAGAAGAAAAGAAAAACCTTGAAATCCAAACAAAATTGAGAAAAATCATATAAACTAAAAAATGAAAAACTAAAAACCACAATATTTATATCTTCGTTATAGAAACAGATGCTAATTCACTGCTTCTGCATCGTGGATGGAGCTTTTTCCAATCTTTTTAGGATATCACTAGCACTTGTTTTATTTTTCTGGTTGTTAATTTATCAATTAAGTTCTTCTTCTGTCATTTTCTTTTCCAGTATTTTTTAAAATTATTTTTCTTCTTTTTTTTTTTAATTAAGCTTCTATTTGATTCTTTGAAGGGCTTATTTGGTATAAAATGGGAACCATCTATTGGGCAAACAAGGCAATGAAGGTTCATAAAAGCGGAGGATCGATGCACCCTCCTCTTTCCATGCATGCAGGTCTTTTAACCTCCATGTATACCCACCTACATTTCAGTGTTTTAATGCTCAATTTCGTTAAATAAAGTGTTTATATACACGCACACACGTCATGAAAAAATAACATACTTCACACTTATCAAACAAACTAATTGAGGCAATTTTAGAAGAAAAATACATAAATTATTTTAAACATATATTGAAAGTGTATATATTCGGGGAGAGGTCCTTCGGGTTAGAGAATGCTCTATCCTCCTCTACTGAGCAAAATTACCTCTATATTCGTTTCCATTTATATCTAAAATATAGTAAATCCGTGATTGAAATGTGAGGGAAAAAAATGATTAAGAGGTGAGTAATGAATGCTATGATATTTCAGAGGTTTCAAGGTCCCAGCTAGTTAAGGCCAAAAATCAAAGTAAGAAGATGCACTCTTTGGTGTTTTTCAATCAACAAACTTTGATTTCAATCATTCGCAATTGGGCATGCCTTTGGAAAGTCATTTATCATTGTGATAGCTATTGTTCAAGCATTACCCAACACGGTGATTACATTACGTACACCATGGTGCTGTCACTTGAACTAGTTGCCTAGCTTAGCAAGGTAGCGGTAATATCTAATACGGTATAAGTTCGTTTTGTTTTCTTATAGTTTTTTTTTTTTTTTTGGGTTCTCCATATATTTTGCTTCTGATGGAACAAAATATATAGGTTTATCTCTCCCGCCTTATATTCTTTTATTCTTATCATTGCGTAACTTTTGTAACAGTTTTTGGTCTTCATTGATTTGAGTTTTCCTAAAAGCATACATGGGTCCAAAATTAGGAGGACCTAGTTTTATTAAAATGATCGATTGCATTCCACACAGAATAGGTAATGGGATTTTATTGTTGTTGTTGTTATCGAATCATTGCAAATTTTCAAACTTGCTATACTAAGCTAATTCTTTAATCAATAATGCTAAACATTACGAATAAAAAAACACAACATAAAAATTACTTCAAGAAGATTCTGAGCTATTGAATCATTTGTCTTCGTGTGAGAGTCAACGACAAGTTCCATTAATTCAATAGCTCTGTGTATTCTTGAATTATTTTTATTATTATATGTTTAGCAGTACTATTCTTGAATATTTTTTTGGTTGTAAAAAAAGGGCCTTTGAGCTTTTTGGGGAAACCTAATCGTAGTCCTTCCACCAATTTTAAATTAGGTCTCTAAACTAAAAAATTTCTCAATTAGATCCTAAAAATAACATGCGTTTCTTAATCGAATCCTCCCCTTCATGTTCATTAATATTTTTAGTCATTTAAGGCATTAGAATGATGCCATTTTCGAGTTTTATTAAACAATGGTACCGACTATTTTAGACGAGAGTATCCAATGGAGAAAACCTATTACATACTAATGAAAATAAAAAATTCAATTTTTTTGGTATGGAATTAAAAATTAGATAATACGTTAGGGATGCAAAAAATTAACTAACCCAGTTAGTCAGGGATGTGATCTGGTTGGCTGGTTCGGTTGAAAAGTTGAAATTATTGAGAAGAAGTGCATTGCCATTGTTTACTCCCATGTGAGTATTTTGTTAATACCTTCGGTTTAAAATCCCAATAGTGCCTCCATGTATTTCCATATTTATCTATCGCTTGGTTCTTTTATTGGTTTTCCACAACAATTGATTGATTTTTTTTTTCCCTAAATGTCCTTCACTTCAATTCAATCACCTAGCAACTCGCAAAAAAATGCATACAAGAAGAGCAACTTGAACATTTAACTTACAAAAGACTATCAAAAAACTGCTTATGATTTTCAAAACAAGGATTAAAATACAAAATCATCAAAACCAGGAGGATTAAATTGTAAATTACTCAAAGTCGGAACGGAACCTAACCCAAAGGATACATACTCACCCCATTGAAAAACCAGCAAGGGTCGCTGAAAGAATATCGCAAGGAGCTTTCTGCAGAGATGAAGGGGAAACTGAACCCTCCACGTCGAAAAATCCAAGCATGTCTTTGGAATTATCAACAAGATTGCTCTTTCTTGTGCACAGACCACAGAATAACTGGATGTAAAAACCGACTCCACTAGACATGAAATAAAACAACAATCATTCAGCTTCCTTTCTTGGGCATAAATTATAAAACCCAGCTTATGTCATCTAGTATAACATTTCATTACATTACCAAGTATATTCCATCACACGGACGCAAAGCCAGTGGAAGAAACCGGCTAGTTGCTAGAGACCAAACGAAACAATGCTAGATAGGGATTCAAGTACCATAAGAAAGAAAGTAGTTTCCGAGTACATATAAGTCTCCAATATAACAAAGGCACAGACCAGAGGATCACATCAGCATCACCTCTAACCTAAATAAATATTGTCACATATTTCCTTGGTAAAAGGACCAAGTCTACTAGAACGCCAATCGTAATTAAGGAAAACAAAAATACTCCCTAGTATCTGAGCAAAGGATAAGATGAATATTTGGCTCGAAACAATAACCAAGCCTTGTCACCTATGGCTCGAAACAATAACCAAGCCCTGTCACCTATCCCTCCTCTATAGGCTTTCGGCGTGATCCGGACTGGGAAATATCATCCAGAAACCGAAATCACCTACTCAACATTGTGATACTCAACTGCTGGGCAGGCAGCATGATACACAACCATTCTCCAAATTCATCCTCTGATCCAACTCAATCAGACAACCCAGCCTTCATCTTGAGATGCCGCTTGAAGTCCATAATGTCTCCCTCCCACCGGGTAACAGCTTGATTTTCACACACCCATATCTCCTGTGCTACCTGGTTTATGAGCCTGAAATCATGGCTAACAAGAACCAGACCCCCATCCCACTCATTCAATGCCTCAGCCAGTGAGTCAATGGTCTCAATATCCAAATGGTTTGTAGGCTCATCCAGCAGGAGCATGTGGGGTTGCCTATATGCCAGCCAAGCAAAAACCACCCTGCTCCTCTGCCCATCTGACAAATTCTTCATGGGCATCACCTGGGCCTTGCCTGTCAAACCAAACTTCCCAATGGCTGCCCTCATCTTTTCTTCCTCGTTCCCTGGATACTCTCTCATCATAAAAAGGAGGGCAGACATTTCTAAGTCAAGTTTCTCAGCTAAGTGCTGATGAAATTGTGCAATCCTCAAGTGATTGTGCCGGCGAACCATGCCATCTGTAGGAACCAAATCGCCTGTCATCAGCTTCAGCAAGGTACTCTTTCCAGCTCCGTTGGGCCCAACAAGTGCAACCCTAGAGTCCAGATCAACACCAAAGTCAAGACACTTATAGATGAGATTATCGGGTGTGTAGCCGAACGATACTTCCACAAACTGAAGCACCGGTGGTGGAAGCTTCCCCACATCAACAAAGCGAAAGACCAGAATCTTGTCTCTCACAACCTTTTCTGTAAGTCCACCCCGTTCCATTTTGGCAAGAGTTTTCTCCTTGCTCTGTGCCTGACGAGCTAATTTTGCTGATCCATGCCCAAATCGGGCAATATACTCCTTCATTGAAGCAATCTGATCCTGCTCCCATTTGTACTGTTTCATCTGGTTTTCTTCCAGTTCAGAACGAGTCTGAATATACTGATCAAAGTTGCCAGTGTAGATTTTCAATTTCTTGTTTTGCATGTGGATAATGTTTGTGCAGACACCATTCAAGAAATCCTGAGAGTGAGAGACCACAACTAGAATGCGGTCAAACTTCTTCAAAGTTTCCTCCAACCAGACACAGGCTTCCAGGTCTGTCAAAACATAAAAGAATTCATCATTAACATCAGACTTTTGCATAGTTCACAAACCACTTCAAAGTCCTCCCAGATCGTCCTTTTCCCCAATAAATGAGGACTGAACTTTAAAGAGTCAAACCAACCAACAAGAAAAAACACTTGAAAACAAAATAATGTTATGCAATTGATAGAGGGCCATAATTTTCAAAATCACTCCGCATGAAATAGAAACTCAATTGTGTAGTGTCTGCCACACAATGTTATGCAAACGAGAATCCCAAAAAGGTTTTGCATTATTTGAATCTAAAGAAATTTCCATTTTTTAGTCAAGGCACAAATAATTGGGGGTGAGTTTGACCCTAGTCCTCTGTGTTTTAACCTCAACAAATGTTGTTATAAAGCTTAGAAGTAACAGTCTGTTTGAAACAAATTTAAGTGAAGAGTTCAGTTCAAATCTACTAGTAGAATTGAATCGAGTTAAAAGAACAAATGTTGATGGAAATAAATTGTTGTCCAATAGTTTGGTGTTCATATTTCTTTCTTTCCCGTTGCTGTTGGCCACAAAGGGGATAAAAAAATTGAAAAACAAAACTCTCTTTTTCATGAATATATTTCTGCTGCAAGGTCTAGGGCCATCCAACAGAATCCACATGAATTTAGACCCTTGTAAATTGAATTTCAAAGGGCATGGAAATGTATGTGTAGAACCAAATTATTTATCAAATCCACCCTCCCAAACACAAAAACTCCATTTCATATACAATTGTATGTTTGCATGTAAGGAAAAGTGATGGAGGTCAGTAAAAATACAAAGACAAAAAATATATGACTGAGAATGCACCAACCATTATAAGGCTTGAGTTCTTAGATAGATCCCAATAAATTCAATAGAATTAACTTTAAATCAATACCATAACCAATTTTCCAAACAGGCTGTAGCAGGTTCATAAGGAAGCGGAGATTAAAGGGCGTATAAGGATGTTGCATGCAAAGTTTACAGTTCTTAGGAGTGTTCAGGCAGAGAAAACTTGAGAATCTTCCCAGATCAACTTGCATCAAGGAGAATTTTTTTTTTTCCTGGTTGGAATTTGATAGCACGTTTTGACTTCTCTTGATATAACATGTCAAGGACTTTTAAAGGATTCACATCTAATGCCCAATAGGACAAGCTATGGCAGTGCTTACTTATCTTGAGTTTTGCTTTCTTTTCCATCAAGTTGGGTGTTATGTTCCCCTACACGCACTTGCAAATCCTTCAGCCAAAACCATTTTTTTTTATCCAAAAAATTCTATTCCAGTTTAATCAAGGACAAGAAAATGCACAAGAGGAAAAATACTAGTGGTGTACTGACAACTCATAAATTCCTATAAGTTTTTTTTTTTAACAAAAAAAGGGGGCGAAAGTAGCCAAAACACAACACATAAAGAGCACTAGAAAATGTTATGAGCAATATCAGTGCTGGTGGAACTTACCAAGATGATTGGTTGGCTCATCGAGTAAGAGGACAGTCGGGGTCATGAACAAAGCCCGAGCTAATGCAATCCTCATTCTCCAGCCACCAGAAAAATCTCGTGTTTTCTTTGCTTGCATTTGCTTGTTAAATCCAAGACCAAACAAAATTTCAGCAGCACGTTTCTCTGCAGTTGCCACATCCATGGCCTCCAAACGCTCATAAACACGATCAAGAGCTTCTCCACCTCCATCATCCTATATCAAATCCAAGCCAAAATAAATGGTCAATTACACATGGAAGTCGCAATAACATAAAGGTTCACGAGTTCTGAAACACACCAAAACTACATTAGTCACAAGGATATACCTGCGCTGCCAGTGTCTCTGCTTCTTTCTCCAATTTCAACCTCTCCTCATCACAGCTCATCACAGCCTCAAGTGAAGACATGTCTGAAGCTTCGATCTCCCTGGTAAGGTGATATATGTCCATGTGGTCTGGAATTGGAAGCTCTCGGCACCCTATTGCAGCTAGGAGTGTTGATTTGCCACATCCATTTAAACCAAGTAATCCATATCGTCTGAAGTACAAAATAATGTACACAGAAAAAAACAATTGAATGAATTTCTCTTTCAATATGAAGTTCTACAACACTTAAGCCAATTAGGTAAGAATATCCAACCTTCCATAGTTTAGCTCCAGCTCAGAATCAACAATGAGATCATGTCCATGAAAAGTAACTGACAATGATTCAATCTGCAATTAAGAGCTAAGTCAGTTAATTGCTAATATCATTAACTTTTGAACCAAGATTTAAACTCTATACAAATAAGCAAGGAAAAAAAACCCTTATCACTTAATATTACCTCCTCCAAAGAGTCCCAGAAGGGTGAACAATTGCTTATATTCATTCAGAAAGGAAAATTTTTAGTCTAAACATTGCATGTTCAGAGTAGTTGTCAGAATGCCCTGGTGACAGACCCAGCCGCTCGCCTAGGCACTTGTCTAGGTACACCAAGCTAGACACAATAAGCTAGTAGTGAGACTAATTTATAAGTCTGTTATGATGTGTGCAAAACTAGCAATCATATAACATGATATATCTTTTCGAATATAGCAATTTAAGAAGCTGCACCTTAATCTAACTATAATAATATCCCGGGTCATTTGATTTAATTCTATATGACTCGAATCATACCAAGAATACCAAAAAAGGCCCAGATAAAAGTAATTATCTTTAGATAAGCAATAGGAGACACTCTTCCAATTTGATGGATGTAACACAAAAGCACTCTTCCAGTTAACTAATTAATCATTACAGTACGCTCTTGCAACTTAGAAGTAGAGATGCATCTAAAAAGAAAACCCTTTGAAAAAAAAAACCAAAGGCAATCAAATTAATTAAGAATCCTAATAAAAAATTGAGTAAAAAAGCTCAATAAAACGTAAAAAAATCAAATCAATTTTGGAAAGAAAAAAACCAGATAGATCAACAAACTTACGCGAATATCTCTGGAAAGAGGATGCGAGCAGAGGACACCGGTACAAGTCCGATCGGATATCTGAAGGGCTCCAACTCCATTAGACAACTTATCAACACCTCCATTCTGCGAATCAGACGCCGCCGCCGCCGCCGCTTTTGAGGAGGTTGCTGGAGCTTTGCCACCTCTCTTGGCAGCGGCCGCCGCCTTCTTTTGAGCAGCCTTCTTCTTGCTGGCGTCGGAAACCATCGTTATATTAATTAATTAGAGAGATCTAAAGAGGGGAGGGATCTAGGGTTTGGTTTTGTTGGTACAAGGAGAGACTGATAGATGGATGGCTGTTTTGGTTGAGTAATGTAACCCGTAAACGAGGGTTATGGTGAGAGAGGGTTTGAAAAGAGTCCAGGATCTAAGAATTTATAGACCACTGGTTTGACACGTGTACGGTTGTTTACTTGAGGTTTTTCCCTCAAAGGTAAGTCAGGGCAGATTAGACGTCAGCAAGATTTTCTTTTTCTTTTTTTTCTTCCCTTTCGTGCCCAAATTGAACTCTCCTTCTCACTGTTTGGTAGACGTGAACCGGTTTAATATTCAACCGAAAAATATTATTTCAATAAATAAATAAATACATAAAAAAGTATAGAATACTGCTAAATTTACCAATAAAATTGATATTTCCATTATTTGTTTTCTAAAACATTACCTATATATTCCTCACCAATATTTTTTTTATAATACTTATTTGTAATTAATAAACAATGTATTTTTAATTGTTTAAAAAATGATAAGAAAAACAGTTTTATTGATGAATTTAGCATTATCCAAAAATATGTTATGTAACTTTAATTTTGTTATATTTGTACTTAGATTTTAGAAGGCAATTACAATAACAATAAAACTAAACTAAAATCATCGATTACTATTTACCGCACTTTTTGAAACGCTATTCATTTACACTCGGATGCAATATTCATTTTACTATGTAATGATATTTTTATAATTTTTAAATATTTTTAATATATTTATTATGAAATTTTTCATAATATTGTATTTTGATCTCTCTTTTTTAAATATTTGATTTTGATTCTATTTTTTATTTTGATCACTTTGGTCCTTGGTTTTTTTCTCTAATTTTTTAATTAAAATTTTTAAAACAAAAGGGTATTTAGAAAAAAATAATTTACAAAATAAGGTTTTAGCTAAAAATGTGAATAGAGATAAATAAAAAAAATTTTAATAAAAAATTTTATGAAAGTATAAAAAATAATTGATCAAATATAAAATTTTGATTAAAAATGATAAAATTGAATAAATTTTTATTCAATTTTGATTTGATATATTTTAATAGATACACAATATAATATGAGCTATTAAAATAAAATAATTTTATATATTTTATCCGATTCATAACGTAATATAGTAGAGTTTTATTGAAAAATAGGCTTTTGATCTTCATATTAGTCTTCCAAGTAAATCCGCCTCTATTTTTATCTACAGAAATTTTTAATCTTTTATATTTGCTACCATTGAAGGTAGTTCATACCTCTAAAAGAAGTTTATATGATTTTTTTTTATGACCGATTTACATTCTGATAAAGCATGCTAAATTTTTTTTTTTTTTATGTATGAAATAAAGTTAATCAAAGTGATATTAAAAGAAAACATTGTCACAAGATTCGCAAAGATTGTGAGATCCAAAAAATTTTAATTTGTAGCGTTTGACATTTGATCATTTAACATCAGTATCAATTTTTATTAATTATACTATTAGTCACCAAATTATTAATTTTATAAAAGTTAAAATCTCATTCAAATTTGGTTAAACTTTGCAGTATTTTGATTTAGGGTTTTGGCACTCATTTCTTAAAAAGAATTGATATTCTAAATTAATTTAATGTAAAAAAAAAAAAAATTAAGCTTTTTAACAACTCACCAATCATGGCACAATCCCCTTCTTTTTCTTCATTCTTGTATCGTTCCCAATTTTTAGGATTATTTCTAAAATTTTCACAATTTTTAATACTATACTAACCTTGGCTATATTAATTAATAATAATAATTTGTCCTACGATTTTTTTGTTTATTAAAAAAAAAATCTCTTATTCGTGGAAAAATCATTTTATTTTTTAGGGCCAAACAAGAGGGAAAAGCCTATAAAACTAAAAGTTTAAGGACTCCAAAACAGCCCAACTTGAAAAGCCTATCCAACTTATACCAAATCAAGCCCAACTGGGAGAACCCAAATCTCATAAAAATGACACCATACTTTCGTCCCCTCTCTCCTCTACCTCGCTCCTCTGCAAGACTGCAACCAAGGACAGTGTGTACTGTTTTCAGTACAAAGGCTGAAAGAAGAAGGATGGGGCTCTATTCACAGTTAGGGTTTTAGGAAAGGAGAGATTCTAGTCATTGGCCTTAGTTTCAATAGGAGAACCACAGGTCCATTGTTGAGCAGACGGCTGGCTGACAACTTGAGGTATGCATTAGTCCATGCTTCTTAGATGTATTAATCAAATCTTGATTGATTAATTGTGGGTCTGAAAATTTTGATGTTTTTTTGGCCAATGATGAGTCACGTGAGTCTCAATCCTTAAAAAATTGTTACTTTCCTTGTTTTGATTGAAACATTGCTGGTTATTTTTTGGGTCCTTTTGTTTCGTTAAATTTAAGCATGTTAATGTTCTGTTGGATAACACCTTAGGCCAAAAACAATTCCTGCACCTGTTTAGCTTAATGGGATGCTCCATTTTCTGTTCCAACTTGTTTAATGAAATGGCCGTCCAACTTTGCTTGATAACAAGAGCAATTGTTGAGTCGATTTGTTATTGTATCGGATTTTCTTCCCTTTTTCTGTAACTTGATGGTCTTGTTGAGCGACTGCGTATGTCCAGCTTTTCATCGTTGAATGCATTCTCAAGTGGTGATTGGTATCCACTTGAAGTCACGATGTTGAATGGCGACCAACCACCATAACGCCAAAGGAGATGGAAACACTTCTTGCTTTAAATTAGCAATATTGTAGTAGTTGAGTTTTATTATAAACTGGACACTAAAATTTCATGTGTTCTCGCAAGTGCCGGCTCAGTTTATGCTCCTCTTAGAAAGGGCATTAACAATTGGTGAAATGATGATTAATCTGACATTAGTTCAATTTGCTGCTTTTCCATTGCTCTTTGAGTTTGCTACTTTCTAAAATGGCTACTTCTTATTTTGAAAACCATTTCTTTAAAAATCAATTTTTTCTTTCTTTCCAAAATTGTTTTGATTATGATTACACTCTTTATTAAATGGCTCAAACGTTACCTATGATAATCAAAATTGAAGGTACTAAACAATAGAAACTCTAGTGAAAGAAAACGGGACATGGGAAATAACATTTTTATTTTTTTTAATTTTTTCCATTCATCTCTTTTGAACATGTTCGTTAATCACGCCTTAAATGCAGAAACAAGAATGAAAACCTTTCTTGGAAGGATGTTGAAGGGTGATCTTAAATCTTCCCTTTATATGAAAAACCTTCGAACTCTGAATCTGTGCTTTCACCAATTTTGATTTGTGACTAAGATTTTCCTCTGTTTTTTCCTAAAATTAATGTGGCTATTACAAAAATAAAAATTTCTAATTGAATCCTGAGTTAGTCATGAGATTTGGAGATCAGTCCATGCTCCTCTCATTTCCTATGTTAATTTTTCCTACAATGCTTCACTGTCTCAATTGTTCAAATCAAATGTTGAAGGTTTGTCAAGACAACTTGTTCCTTGTAGTTGGAAGCTTCATAAAAATTATGTTCTTCTCTAGACTGTCTAAACACAGGACTTCATTTGTTTAGTTTTAGTTTTAGACATCAATTTTGACAGGTATTTATTAGAAGTCTTATTTTTATTAATTTGAAAAGCATTTCTTCCAATGCTTCACAAGGCTACACTCAGTCTTCCATATTCTTTGAGAAACTTAGCTGATATTTAGCATATCAGGACTCGTAACAGTTATCAATTTCACAAAGATACTTAGATATCCTATTTTGATGACAGTCAAGAAGTTTGGCAAATTGCCAATTAGTTGTTCCCTCATTCTGATAATTGGCAAATTCACATTGGTGCTCCTTGCGTCCTGTTATTTATTCTAGAGATGTTGTTTGTTTCTCCTGCCTCTGCATTATGATTTCTCATTGTTGTGTCTGATAAGGAATTCTGAAATTAACTACCCTGTCACCACTGCAAAAAGTCTAGACGTACCCATTTGGAAAACCTGTCAAATTATCTAATTAATCTGATTTCACAGCTTACTGTCTTATTTAGTCAAGCCATATTTCAGACAGATGTAATTTATTACTAGAACTAAATATATTTGATACATATATGCTATGTTTCTTATTTTATTTGCAGTCGATAACTATTTGGCTCAGGAAGTGATATTTCTTTTAAGTCAGACTTCGATGATGTCCTGATTATGAAGGTGAACAGTTAAATAGTGCATAAAGAGAAAAAAAGATTTCCTTACTCTCAGGAATTTTACTAAATTATAGTACCTACTTCCATCAGTTGTTCCATCTGCATATCTTGTTTGTCCCAATTCCATAGTACTGACTATCTGACTATTAAGGAACTTCATAATTTAAGTACAAATTGCAGAAGATGGATTGGAGTTTCTCTTGTGCTTAATGAATAAAGGGAAGTATGCTTCCACTTAAGCCTCTTTACAACTATACAACCTTACCAAATTCTTTAGCCGTACAGCTGTGGATAACAACCATAGAAGTCCGTTAAAAACTTAGTTTTTCGTCTTCTGTTTATTGGCATGCTATACAGGCTGCCATTGGTAGTAGGCATGTTTGTGCTTAAGCGTGTGTTTGTCTGTGGATTTCTTAAACATGTCTGTTACCTTTCCAGTAGGAGCCAGAAATAGATTGTCATATAGCAATAATGTAAATCTTCAAATCTGCAGTCTGAACAGTATTGTTTGGTATGCTTTTGGCTCACATGACAGAAAGTCAACCTCCAATAACTGGAAAGTAGAAACATACCGAATATTTGTATGAGAGTGGGGATACAAATTTCTGCAAGTTGGTGGGGTTGAAAAAGTAGACAAAGTGAGAAACAATGCCTATACAGAGGAGGTATTGAATTGCAAAATTTAAAACCTTTGCCCCCACGGCTTCGCTCCAAGCTAAGTTTTCGATTGAAGAAAATGTTGTAACTGTGCTTTTAGGAGCAGAAAAGAGAATGCCGGTGGTAGTGTAGCTTGTTTAGACTATGCATTACTTCTTTGGCGCATGGGTTGTGTTTTTCATTGTCTCTCTTAGTTGACATTAATCTTCCAAAACTGATTATTCTTCTGTTGTTAATCAAAATGTCAGGATAGTCAAAGAATGACGGTCTTGAAGAGATATGTCTTGCGATTGTTTATATCATTGAAGTATATCACAGCAAATGTTGTGGACAGAAACAATGGGAGAATTGTTGCCACAGCATCAACAGTTGAACATTCCATCAAGAACACCCTTGAGTGCAGTCGATCTTGCAATGCAAAAGCAGCAACAGTTATTGGAGAGGTGTTGGCTATGCGACTCAAGGTGGATGGTCTAGAACAGGGACAAGGAAGAGGGATTCATGTCAACATGGACAAAGAGGTTGAGAAAAAAGGCTTTAAGAACCGCACCAAGATTTGGGCTCTTGTTAATGCCCTAAAAAACAACGGAGTTAAGATCATTCTTGATGAGGATAATGATAACTCATGTCGACCTAATTTTCCATGAATCTTTTTCCAGTCCTTTGTTTTATGTAGTGTATAGAAGATAGTGTACATTCATTTTACCAGGGAAAGAATAGGACTGGCTCCTGAGTATTACATGATGCTAATGCTTATTGATTCAAATAAAAAACTTGTTGATCTTTAGCCATGTATTCCTATTGCAAACATCAATGTTCTGAAAATGAGGCTCAACTTCGAAGAATGGATGGATGCTATTCGGACACCAAATATTTCCAAGGTTTTTCCTTAATGTTTTCAACTCTAGTTTCGGCGCTTCTCCTGTCGGCTGGCAGCTGTGGAGCTGTAAGACAGAAAAGAAAAAGGAATCTAGACCCATATTACAGGCTATGTTGGGACTTGGCCATTTGTTTGAAGGCCAAATGAAGAAACTAGTGTCTTGTCTTCTCCTTTTAATCGGTTCTATCTGATTGGGAGCGTTAAAAAGTACGAGGATACGAAGAAAGCCACAAAGGTCCAATCCTGATGCTGGTAGGCATATGCACCTTTTGAGCACTTGATTTAAGGCGAGAGGAACGTTCCTTTTTCGAGCAAAAAGTGGCTTTAATTAGCATTAAGAAGAAAACTAAAACATACCGGTAAACGAGCAGTGTATGAACACTGTTTACTGTTCATTTGCTCATAGATCGCTATTTATTGAATGACAAAAACATTTTCATCTTTTATGTCTTCCTAAAATATTTTTGATTTCTTGTATTTTTAAAAGATATTTGTGATCTTTAAATAGTAAGAGAAGAGACAAGCAAAAGGAGAGAAAAAATAAGAGAGAGAGCTCCGATTAAGATAGACTCCAATCATTCTTTTTCATGAAAAGAGAGTATTTATGATCTTTTTAGTCATAAAATAGTTCGATAAGGTAGATCGAAACCAAATAAAAATTTAACTTATTGATTTAATTTGTAATTTTTTTAGTTTTAATGTGCATTAAAATATTTTTTAAGATTTTAAATAAGTTCATTAACCTTGTGTCGGTGATGTTGAGATATTTTAAAGCAAAAATCATGCTGGAAATTGGTTTTGAAGCCCTAAAAATGAAACTCTAATTTTTTGGCGACAACCACGGTGGATACCAGTTTGGTGAAAGTTGTAGGTTTTTTTTTTAAGGGCCACATGGGCCTGCTTCTGGAGGCCCACGAGGAGGGTTCTCTCTTTTTATTTTTAGCAACGATTATTATTATTATTATTATTATTGAATTGGGTGCAAAAATTATAGAAAAACAATCGTTATTTTTTTTCTCAAACTTTCACACATACTAGCAGTTATGAAATGTATACGATATATTTTTGAATATATATATATATATTTTTAAAAAAATTGATCTATTTAATTTGTCGATTTGTATAAAAATTCTCATCAAATTGTTTTTTATTCTTCTTTTTATGTCTTTTTTTATTCATAAAATGATTTATTTTCCTCCATGTATGGATTTACAAATTAGTTTTATTCAAAAAATAAAATAAATAATCAATTAAATAATAGAATTCATGTGTTTTATTTTTTATATGATAAAATTTTTTCGGAATCAATTTTATACTTGTTTCTATTACACTCTATTAACTTCAATATATTCCTTATAAATTATTTTTTAAATACTTTTTGATTTATACTCGTACATTCGACCTACTAAACATAGTCATAATGTACCAAAAAAATTTTACTTTCATTGAATTTATTAAAAATTATCTATGCATTTACACACATAACACCAATGATTTATGTTTAATTTTTTTTAATATTTTAAAATTAATTTCTTTCAAATAAAATAATTATAATAATATTTTAGAAGAACTGTCTAATAATTCAAATACAACTTTTTAATTCTAATATTATTCATTTTTTTAGTAAGAAAGCACGTGCGCACGCACGCTCGCACACACACACACATATATATTAAATACACATATTTTCAAAAAGTTAAAAAAAATTAAGTTATTAATTTTTATACAAGCTTTATATTGCTTTATATAAAAGAATTAAAATAATATTTTAGAAGAATAGCTTAATAATTCAAATAGATATTTTTATACTAGTATGATTCATTATTTTATAAATAAATATATATAGATCAAATGTACATATTTTCAAAACATTTTAAAAGAGTCATTTGTTAAGTTTTATACAAGTTTTTATATTAATTATTTTTTTATTCGATGCAATCTTATGAAAAAAAATATATTAAGATATTTCTTAAAATTTTATAGTACTAGAAAATTAACATTATTATAGGTTTTTATTTTAGAATGAATTCATAACGAAGAAAAAAATATATTAAGATATTTCTTAAAATTTTATATTAAATTTTCTATTAATATTATTATAGGTTTTTATTTTAGAATGAATTGATAATGAAGAATAAATCGTATTTTTTAAACTATAAAAATTATAAAAAATATCAATTAGAATAGATGAAATATAACATTTTGATTAAAAATTATAAAATTTTATTGTTTAGTTTTAACTTAATATATTTTAATTAAGTGATGGTATAGTATAAATTATTAAATTAAAATAAATATATTTAGTTTAACCTTAAAAACAATTGTGGTTTATTTGTGACTAAACACAATGCACTTGTTTTTTTTTTTTTTTATGTAGATTTTTTAGAAGGTGTTGTGTTGGCATTTTGACTTCAATAGTCGACGCCAAAGTCTTCCAATTGATGCTGACAGCGATGCCCCAACTCTTTCCTTTTCCTTTTTCTTCATTTTTCATCTTAAACAACCAAGACTTGACTTATCGTGCTTATATATTAGGCATCAAACTCTTTGACATTAGTGGTAATTATTTTTCATTGTCATCTATACCTTTCAATTATTGTCAACCAAGCTTGTGTAAGGGCGTTGCAAATGCATAATTATGTCGGCTTCCTCGAAGGAGAAATTCTCACCCCAGATCTCAATCAACTAAGTTTTCACCTTCTGATTTTTCTATAAAGTGATCATCAACTTTGAAAATTTGCCTTCTGATAAAGTCCTGTTTGGTTTTTTCTATCCATAGAAAAAGCACTAACACCTTGCACTGTAAGTTGATAGACACCTCTGGCTCAAATAATGATTCACGAACTGATATATAACAAAATATCATGAATGATAGAGATTAGATTCTGGACTTTTCTTTTCTCTTGAATCTTATCTTCTTCTTCTTCTTCTTCTTTTTTCTGTATATTAGCAAAGAAGCGTTTTTGTTCAGGAAAATCATCAATGATATAACTTTTACTTGATAATTCCGAATATTTAAATAATATGAAGAAGTTGTGTAATGTATAGGCTGAAAAATATTGAAATAAATCCTTAGATTAAAGGAACAGATTTATTTTTTATAAGGAAATATTGCACCAAACTTCTAATTATTTTTGTAACTGATTGTTATATTCTTTAAAATACCTCCATAATTCTAAAGAACTAATTTTTTCCTTATCATATATTTTGTTGTCCTTAAGATTTTGTAAATCCTTAACCTCATGTAACTGCTTTATCCTCCTCCCTTGTTCACGATTTTGTTCATTCTTTTTACAACTTTTTAACAAAATTCGTTTTTATTTTGTCAATTAATGATCATGAAATCTAAATAGACCTAGATAACCTGTCAGTTGTCGCATTTTCGGTTAATTTGTTTGATTTTTATTTTCTTTAGTATTTTGAGAATTCATTCAATTATATTTTGTAGATTTAAAGATACTTCTTCTTCTTCTTCTTCTGATAAAAAGAAATACTTAAGACATAGGGGGTAAGCTTTTTAGAAAACTCAACTGAAGATGATTTCCAACCAGACAAAACCTTGGAGGGAATATAAATAAAGATCATTTTCAACGGTTAAAAATATACCAAAATTTATAAATGTTTTTCTTAAAATTTTATTTAATTGTTTACTTCTTCGTGTTTAGAAGGAAAAAACAAGTTTTTGAAAAAACAAGAGTAAAATATCTATAAATTTTGACATTTTTAGTTGTTGGGCCTTACATATTAGAATTGATAAAAATTTTACAAAATGACCATATTTTAAATAAAAATAATTAAAATAAAATATAACCTAAAATTAAAATTTTGATTTTTAAATAATTTAAAGTTTAGAAGAAATTTGTATATATGGTTTAGCCATTTAAAAAAAACAAAAAAATATATATAAATCTACTATTCATTGCACTATTCTCAATACTATTCATCCGAGACTTATATGTACTATTCACCCAAACTCGGATGCATTATTCATCTCATAATGTAATGGTATTTTCGTAATTTTTAAATATTTTAAAAATATTTATTATGAAAATTTTTCGTGACATTACACTTTTGGTCCTTTTTTTTAAATATTATTTTTTAATTTGTAAGTATTTTTTATTTGATCTTGGTCTCATTTTTTATGTTTTATTTTAGTCACTTTGGTCTTCATATATTTTTCTTTGAACTTTTTGATTAAAAATCTTAAGACAAAATGATGTTTAGAAAAAAAATTTATAAAAAAAAATTTTAGCTAAAAATGTGGATAGAGATAAATAAATAATTTCTTTTAATAAAAAAATTATAAAAATATAAAAATAATAAATCAAATACAAAATTTTGATTAAAAATAATCAAATTAAATGAATTTTTATTCGAGTTTTGATTTGATATATTTTGATAGACGTATAAATATAAGACGAGATATCAAAATAAAATAATTTTATATATTTTATTTGATTTATATTATAATACGGGTAAAAAAACTAAAAAAAGTAATATAAAATTATTATAAAAATAATTGAACCTTAACCCACATGTATCAGCAAATTAGACCCAACAAAATTCTATATAGCGCATCATGCTGATGACGCAAGAATCCAAATTCTTCTCCTCTTGCATACAAGAATCAATGATTTCAGTCTTCGTTCCACAATTTGACGTACCATGAAGTCTGTGCCTTGCCTTCAAACAATCATTATAAATAAGTGCCCATAGCATGATGTGTCTCAGTTACTCAAATTAGTGGAATTAGAACGACCACAAGAACTTTGCTTTGTATTTGCAGAATCTATGAGTTTTATACTTTATAAAGTATAAAGGGATAGTTGTATTATAAAGAAATTATTTTTTAATTGATTATATGAATTTTTATTTCTATTTTATTTAAATATATTAATTTTTTAAAATTGTCAATTAAATATTTTTTATTTAATTTATATTTATTATTTTGTTATCTAGTGACGTGTCATTTACCTTATATTACTAAATTATTATTTTATGCTTTCATTCTCGAGGGAATCTTTCCCACTTAAATTATTTTGCTATTTTTCAGTTTTTAGTTATAAGGATAATTTGGATATTTTAGTATACAAAAAAAATTGACAAAATAATTTAGAATGAAAAGGTCTCTTCAAGAATGAAATAACAAAATCATTATTTAGTAGCATTAAAAAAAAAAAACATTCATCAGATAACAAAGCAATTAATACAATTCGGATGAAAAATCCTTGATTAACCATTTTAAAAAAATGCATATACTAAAAAAATATTAAAATTTTTATATTCGATTAAAAAAATATTCTCTCTTTGAGCATTAGTGAGAGGAAGAGATTAAACCTTTACCATAAAGTTTTAAAGTATTCTATTGGTAAAATAGCTATGGATGAAAAAGTACTTCTCCATCAAAATAAACCTTTTCCTTCTTCTTCCTTTTTTTTTCTTTTCAACCCTCTTTGTAATCCACCTTTTTTTTGTACATAGGTTATATCTACTCTCACATGGAAGGGAACTCATGCAATCATCACGGTTAAAGAAAAAGACTTAAAAGAACTCTTTGATCACATGGGTATTGGAATCTAATCCAAACTATTTAATTTTTTTTTATATATATATATATATATATATCGTGTTTAATTTGATATTATTTTATTTTAAAAATATTTTTATTTTCTTCATAATCTATATTTATTTTTTTATTTTCTAAATAAAAAATAAATTTAACACATAAATTAAATAATTAGTTTTTAAAACAAAGAAAATGAATTAATTTATTATTTAAAACTAGAGGGATTAATTAATAATTTACTCAATGTACAATATATCATTTCTAACCCACCACATGTTGTATGCTTGTGTGGTTTTTTGTCATAGAAAAAAAATTGTAATCCTTTATTACGAAGATAGAGACTTAAGGTATTGGTCATTTTTTATTTAGTGCATGAAGGAGACGACTAGTTGGGTCATTTTAATAGACGGATAGAATATTCTCTCGTTTTCTATTTGCTTAATTTTCCTTCAACTCACACGTTCTTATCGCTAAAAGAAGAGAGAAAGAAGGGAAGATAAAAGAAAATTTGGAATTACTTAGTAAAAGATTAGCAAATGCTGTACCTAAAAATCAAGAAGATTGAGAAAAGTGTTTCATACTTTTCCCCATCCTTTATGGAAGTTTCCTGTATCCTTCACAGAGGAAGGCAAAAAATAAAATAAAATAAAAGAGCATGCAATTCTGAAAAATAAAAAACAAAAATCATGCAGTATATATCATGATGTGTATCATATCACATACATGATATGAATCATGTAATGCCACTCGCTTCGATGATTGTTGCACGTCCTTTGCGTTCATAGGTTCACCGTGTATGCACGTGTAAACCATTAGTCATGAGTAGTGGGACCGTACCCTTTGCTTTGCCTCTTTACTGCTGAAAAATCATTTTCTCAAATAGTTAAAAGGGCAGTACTCTCGTTTAGTGACAAACATGTCATTCATCCCTTGTCTAATGACTGATGGGTCTACTCATTTTTAGTGGTGAATTTATCAAGTGATGGATGGGATATCCACTGGCTAGGTTGGAATTAGAAATCAAATTAAGTTTTGCCTAATAATTCATCAAGGTTAAATGGTATAGAATTTTTATGAATTTTAAATCATTTAACAATTGACCATTCTATTTCTAATTTCAAACTGGATCCTAGGGCAATGTTTTTAAAAGAAAAAACAAGTAATTTTTTTTTTAAAAAAAAAACAAGTTTTAAAGAGAAAAATAAAAATATATATAAATTTTGATATATTTTTAAAATAAAAAACTCAACAACATACAAGTTACGTGTATTTTTATTAATGAAATTAAAATTGATGAAAACTTAATAAAAAAAAATTATGGGTATGATTTTCAAATTACTTTAAAATTCAAATAAGATTTTAACGTCTTAGTCCGCGATTAATTACCCTATTAAAGGAAGAGGCCCAAGAAATGACCCTAAATACCCCACTTTTGCTTTTAATCGACATACTAAAGTGGATCAAATAAATGGCCAAGGGCTCTGAGTCGAGTCCACAATCTGCATCAGGTTAGCACTCGCATCATGACACCTATTAGCATAGCAAGGTGATGGTGATGTGAAAATGGTCATGTACGTCCATGTTTCGACCTGTATAACCTGAAACACAAGGAAAGGAAGAAAGCTAGAGCTAAGCTAGGGGTTTCTTGTTCAGGAAAATGCTTTTGCTCAATGCTCACCCTCTTGCCTAGAGCAAGAGGACAAATAAAACTACAAAAAAAAAAAAAAAAAAAAAGGGGGGTCAGCTGCAATTTGGGTGCTCACTCTCTGTTTCTCTAAAACCTATTGGCCGAGCATATGTTTGCACTTTGCAGCAGCCCCTCAGGCTCAGGCGCAGGCTCAGGCTCCGGCTCCCCAGGACAACAAATAAGGACACCGGAGAAAAAGTTAACTAGGGTCTAGGCGTGTTTCGCAGGTTCACGGTCCTTTTTTTTTTGTTTTTTCAAATAACTGGCAGGTCCCAAGCCTATGATACCAGACACTCTCTCTGTAAAAATAGTTTGTTATTGCTTATGTACACTAGTACTAGTACGACGTGGGACCCCGGTCACTTTAATGGCATAATTCCTTTTATATATATATATATATATATATATATATATATATATGTTGAATTAATTTTTATATTAATCAAAATGAAACATATAATATTTTTGAATCAATTTTTGTATTTATTGGGATTATATCTATTATTTTTTTAATTAAATTAACATAAAATAATGTCTGGACTTTAGCCATTACTATTGTTCTTTTTCTGACGTAAGTAAGGAAGGTTCAATATGTTGCTTGAGGGAAGACTAATAATCTTACTGATTTTGAACTTTAATTTGGTACGTCAGTAGCGTTTGATACTCCTACAAATTATCTAACAAGTGACATAATTTAAACGAGAGAGGTGACACCCCACCAACATTTGTGTTGGATACTAGGGATTGAAATTGGCTGTGATTGTTAGGTGCAGAATGATTCTTTTTAGCTAAGAATCTTCCAGATTGCTAATGCTTTTGTCACCATTTTTTTGGACTCTCTTCGCGATCCACATCTTGGTGGTTACACATCACCAAAATTAAACCCCACACTGAGCCAATTTTCATCCCCCACCCTCAAATGTGGAAAATTTGATCCACTCGAGTTGTGGTAGCATTGTCTCACCAAAAGTAGTGCCCCAGATTAATTGCACAGCCCCACAAGACTATAAACATGCACAAAAAGCAGTACTCCAAAAATTTACATTAATCCAAATTAACTATACTCCATTAATCCAGAACCTTACAAACATTCCAAAATCAAAATCCTCCCAACAAACCGACTAGTAGTACGTAATTGACATCTTTTACTACCACCCATTAACCCAAAATTTCCCTCCCTACTCACCCTATTCATTATTTACATTTTTAGCTCGTTTTAAATAATTACTGCTTTAAAGACTTTGACCTCACATAACGGCGCAGGCATTTGGGTTCTCGTCATTAAACTGCAAATGATCCGGATAACCCACAACCGGTCCCGGATGCGGTCCATAACCAGGATGAGGTCCATGGCCGTATCCATACCCGTAACCATAATCCGGTCCATATGAAGAATAAACAGGTTGACCCACATAACCATTTCCATAGATTGGCTGATTCACGTACCCGAATCCAGGCCCAAACCCAGGTTGTACCATGAACTCCATCCTGTTCTGTTCCGTTTTTGCAGCAGCAGCAGCACCACCACCACCACCACCTTCACCATCTTGCCCACCATTTCCACCGCCACCTTTCTTCTTTCCTCCGCCACCTCCGGCAGCATTATCTCCATCCTTACCACCTTCCTTCTCCTTCTTTGGTGGCACAATGTCCACTGGTCTCTTAAGCCTCTCCTTCAAGGTCTCGGTCAAAGCCTTCACATCCATGGTCCCTTTGACCGTCAACAATTCCTTCGGTTTGTCAATTACGATCTCATGCACACCTGTAAAAATAAATTAATTAATAGAGTAATAATAAAGTTCATCAGTAATTAATTATTAATTAATCAGCATTAAAAAAAATTAACGCCGTTACTCAAACGGAAGGGAAGATTTTGAAAACGTATATCCATACCTTTGGTCTTGTGGACTATCTTGCGAATCTTCTCGACGCAACCCTGGCAGTGAAGTCCCAGCTTGAGTACCGCCGTCGTTACCGGAGCCTGTTTGCCATTTAAATAATAACGGTAAGTCATTAATTTAATTAATCACCAATCATTAAAATTAATAACAAAAGAATCCCCGACATTAACCAAAAAAATGAAGGTTCATATGCAAGACCTCTTTTGGTTTGGTAGCAGAGTCTGGTTTCTTGTCATTGGATTTCTTGTCCTCTTTGTTGCTGCTGCTGTTGTTGTTTTTGTTGTTATCTTGTTTCTGAGGTTGTGGAGAGATGAGGTCGACCTTCTTCTTGGCTTTATGTTGGAGATAGTCTCGGATTTCCAAAGGATCAACCTTTCCTGTAACAGTAAGCTTGTTTGAAGCTGCCTCTGCTTTCACTGATTCCACGCCTAAAATAACAACCCAAAAACAAAACCATAAGAAAAAAAACCCATTAAAGAAACAGCCAAAAAAAGAAAACAGAGAAGATTCCAACGATCTGTAGAATCTGGTTTGAGTAAAAGAAACGGGTACCTTCAAAAGCGCGAACAGATTTGACGATTTTAGAAACACAGCCTTCACAATGCATCTCCACTTTCAAAACTACAGGGGCTGGGTGTTTCTCCTCTTTCTTTCCTCCGCCGTCACCACCTTTGTTCTTTTCTTCATCTTTCTTCTCTACTTCGTTATTCTTGTTGTTGTTGTTGTTGTTGTTTTTCTTCTGCAGAAAACAAAAGCAAATGCCCACGATAACTGATTAGGGAGAAACAAAACACAAAAGAAATGGAAAAAAACAAGCAAATTAATAACTCAGATTAAAAAGGACCCTCTAATCTTAAGCGCGTTAACTCACCTTAGCCATTGTGAGTTGAAGAGCGGTTTCTGCTTCTAATGAGAGTTGAAATCGGAGATAAAGATGAGGGGGAGTCGTGTAGAGAATGTGGGGAGTATTATTTATAGGAAGTAAATGGAGGAGGCGGTTATAGTTAGATGATGATGATGAATCACATGTATGTCATGTTGCAATACCATACCATACCATAACATAACATAACATAACATAACCAATCATAGTATGTAATGTGGACTACTTGGATTTATGTACTTTTAAGGTTTTGGGCATTTTTCTTGGTGGAGGAAGGAGGAGAAACGTCTGTGTAATTTCCTGGTAGGTTGGCAGGAAAGTCGAGTGCAAATCAATCCCTGCTTTCATTGGATTTATTGGGTTTTGTCTCTCTGTCTGTCTCTCTGTCTGTCCGTCCGTCCTTCTGTGTTAATGGAATGGCTTTAAATTTCGTGGATGTTACACTCCCAAGTAATAATTGACTCTTTGTTAATGCTTCTTACCATGGTGCCAATCTTGTCTCTCTGTGTGACTGTTTTGTAACTACAACCATGTACATTGCATTTGCTGTTAATACTTAATTAATAATATGGACCCTTGTTGTACAAATCTTGCAAAGTAACAAAGGAATTGCACCAAAATCAAGCGATCCTTATGTTTCATGCCCAATGAATGATCTATTTTTAAATTATTCTTCTGAAAGAAAAAGGGGAAAAAAAATTATAGTGGTTAGTGTACAAAATTAGTAAAACTTTTATCTATTTCAAAACTAACAAGAAGTTCATGCTCGTGAAAAAAAAAAAAAAAAAAAGAGAAAAATCGAGTACCTATGAAATGAACCTATGCATGTATAGTGTTTAAAATCTAAATCAAGGAATCCTTATGTTTATTGTTAGGTGTATGATTAATTTATAAAACCATTTGATATAAATTGGTAGGTGGTTAGTAAATGACATAAATAAAAAAATCCAATTGAAGATTAAGGGAAATTTCTCCTCAAGGAGGAAAAATAGTTGATTACCTATGAAATTTTTATATTTTTGTTGGGATTAATAGCTTAGTCTTACCTTATATAATAATTTAATTTTTTAATATTTTTAATTGAGTTAATTTTATCCTTAAATATATATTAAATTATTTATTTAGTTATTTTAAGATTTTCAGATTAAATCATTATAATTATTTACGCAATTTATACATGATTAGTTTTTATTCTCCAAATACTCTCATAAGCCATTCAAATTAAAAAAATTTCATATGTAAATTGTGTGATTAATTTTGATAATTTAATTTTAAAATATTATTAAAATAATAAATTAAACACGAAATGTATATTTTAAAAATAAAATTAATTTAATTAAAAATATAAAATCACGTCAAAGAATTATACAGCTTGAACAAAATTCTACTCTCACAACTCAAGCCACCCAAAGCAAATACTATAAAGTAAGAAAATTTTAAACCGTACTAGTGAATTGGATGGTTGGTATTTTGGGTTGCACTCCACCTCTGACAAGATGGATGAAATCATTTATTTTGAGTTATTGAAGCGCTGCAATAGATTCACACCCTCGAAGTAATAGAATTTTGTAGTGTCATGCCTTGACACATTGGTCATCATTTAGAACCATACGTTAAAGAGATCATACAATTCTATGAATTTATGGTACATGAGAAGTAGTGAACCATCGTCAATTCTTCTAATGTTCATAGAAGGCACTGTAAAGATGTAATATTTTCAATGAACAATTGAAACTACGGGTTAAACCTAATCCTTTTCCATCTGCATTCAAACTTTTGTCCAAGCACCATTTGAAAGGATTATGAAGAAAAAGTATATTCATTCAAACTATTTTAATAACTAGAGATAGAAAAATATCTAGGAACTTGTCATATTAATAATCATTGTTGATTACGCGTGTGTGTATTGTGCTATGCATACTGAAAACAATGTTTACAAGAATGTCATTAACATCATAATGAATGTAAAGTCCAAAACAATTACTTATTGAATTTTAGATATGATTTCCGAATGTTAGTATTTAACAAGAATTATATTGGAGAAATAATTTCTATTCTGTTTTAAGGGATAATAGTCCAGTCTGTTTTTATATCATTAATAAGATAAGTTTTCAATTTATTTTTATAATTTAAAATGAGTTAATTATGTTTTAGTATTTTAAATAATTTTTCAATATGTCATTTTGATGAATTTTTTCAATCAAATCATCCGAACAAATCACATAACTTACAAGTGAATGTATTTTTTTCAAAAATACTCCTTTGTTGAACGTGAGCAAGTAACATTTATTTTTATTGAAAGGGTAGTTTCGAAAAAAAATAGTCATATGTAAGTTAGGTGATCTTTTTTTATATAGTTTGGTCAAAAATACTTATCAAAATGATAGATTGAAAAACTCATTTAAAATACGAGAGATAAAAGAAACTTATTTTGAGATATAAAAATAGATTGTACGAGTGACTCCATTGTTTAAGAATAGACTGGAATATGTTTTTTTGTTTTAATGATTATAGATAGATAAACCGGATAAGGAAAAAACGATAATTAAAAAAAAATCACATAAAGCGTTTCTCAATAGAAATGAAAATGACATAACATACATAGTGATCTTAACGCAGAGATACTATATATTTTTCCTTTCGATACAATTAAACTATTTTCATATTAAATATTAAAAGACAGATTTTCATTGGCTCAATGACATGAAAAAATATATATGATATTTTGACTCGATAAAAAGTAAAACCGCCTTTGAAGTATGCGCACAATGGAGTGTTGAAACAATTAGATGTGGTGGAAGCACAATCCATTTACCATTAGATCATCATGCCTTCTAAGTGTTTTTTTAGTATTCTCTTCATTTGCAAATTCATACAAAGATAATAATGGTAATGGTATATTTTTTTGAGAAAAAAATTCATTACCAATGATGGTGGTGTCAATAGTGTAAAGGATAAGTCCAAGGAATAACAAACTTCGGATCGTATCCAATACTCGGTGTAAACTTTATCTACTCGCTAATATTGTTGTAACAGCTTCTATTTTATCTCCTAGACTTTCCGCATTTCTCATGTATAAGTACAATAACCAAAATCAATGAAAAGCGTGAATTCAATATTCTTTTATGGTATCGGAGCGAGTAAACACTCTAGCGAGTTTCTTCGATCCTTACATCTAACCAAGCCATGTCAATCATCGTTGAAACACCTATTGTGCAATTAAATGCACCAAGTCACTTTCCTATCAAACTCATGTCCTCTAACTTCCCTGTTTGGAGGAAACAAATACAATCAACTCTCATTGGCCTCAATATGTTAGATTATATAGATGGTACCCTACCTACACCATCATAGTTTCTCGATAACGAGAAAATAAAAACCAATCCAATCCATAATATATGGTATAGACGAGGATCAAATTCTTATCATCACAATCCTTGGTACTGCTCCGAAACTATTCAACCAATCATCTCCTCGACTGAAACCTCCAAAGAAGCTCGAGATCGGCTCACTCTCGGCTATGCAAATCCTTCACGATCCGGAATCATCTCTCTCAAAGCTAAGCTAGCTAAGAATCCAAAGGGTACAAAATCGATTGCTTGAATTTCTTCATGAAATGCGATTTATTGTAAATGAATTGGCTCTTGCTCAAAATCCAATTCCTGAAGAGGATCTAGTCGTCCATATCATCACTCAATCGGGTGATGAGTTCAACACCATTGTTGCGGCCATCAAAGTCCGTGAATCTCCAATTTCCTACTCGGAGCTATTTGATAAATTAACAGATTTTGAAAGAATGTTGCAAGAAAATGATACGAGCACATTCCCCTGTTATTACCACGAGCAAATGTGACTCAAAAATACAATCCTAAGGTCCAGCGAGGCCTACAAGTCATATCAAAGAACTAATAATCGTGCCCGAGGGCATATCTCAAACTATCGAAGATCTCGTGGTGGCTATGGTGTAAATCACTCTCGATCTTTCACGGCCAAATCGAGTGGAAACCGATCCTATAGAGCAGAGGTATTCTATCGTTTTAGTGAGTTCACGAGTCATGATACACGTGAATGCAAGAAACTTGTTAAGTTTTTGAAAGAAAACAATATCTCTATAAACAACTATCGGAATCTCAATGCAAATCGGAGTCCAATGGCCAATGCTACCATGTCCATGAGTTCTACCACTATGCAACAACCTTGGTTATTTGACGAGTGGGGCGTCGCACTATGCAACATCAAACCTCTCAGCCTTACAATCCTACTCGACTGTGGAGGACCGGATGAGATATTCTTGGATAATGGTAAAAGTCTTTCCATTTCACACACTGGACACACCATGATTACAACTCCACACGAGCACTTTCTTTACCCAATGTTTTGTGTGTTCCACGATTACGAAAAAATCGATGTCCATAGCAAAATTGTGCAAACCTAACCAAGTCTCTGTTGAAATTTTCTCATCTTATTTTCTTGTGAAGGATCTTCGCACGAGGGCGCCTCTAATGCGGGGAGAACAAAAATGAAATTTATTGTGTAACTCTGCCATGTCGCCCTCAAATCAATATCACTAACAAACACTCTTTGTCCGATTGCCATCACAAGCTTGGTCATCCTTCAAATAAAACTCTCGATACTTATCCTTCGGGATAATGGTTTAGTTCCAACTCACATGTCCATTTCTAATTTTCATTGTACTTCCTGTTCTATCAATAAAAGTCATAAATTACCTTCTTTGATAATTCTCTAGTCGATACTAAATCATTAGAACTCATCTATACTAATGTCTAGGGACCAACCAAAAAATCCATTGACGGCTATGAGTATTATATAATTTTTGTTGATTTCTTTACTAAATATATATGGTTATATCCGATGAAGAAGAAATTTGATACTTATATTATATTCCCTCAATTCAAAAAACTAGTGAAAAACTATTTTCAAACTAAAATTATCTCTCGTCTTCTCGACAATATGAGGGAGTATCAAAAGCTGATACCGGTATTCAATTTATGTGGTATTTCTCATTTCACTACACCTTTACACACGTCCGAGCACAATGGCACAGCTTGAAAGGCGTCATAGACATGTAGTGGAAATTGGACTTTCCTTACTCCATTTTGCCTCTCTCTCATCCCACTATTGGTCCCATGCATTACTGATCTGCAGTGTATTTAATAAATCATCTTCCCACATTAATTTTAAACTTCAAAACTCCATTTGAAATGCTCTTCAATAGACCTCCCAACTACAAGAAACTCAAAACCTTTGGATGCCTATGTTATCCATGGCTTTGCCCATACAATACGTCCAAACTCCAACCAAGATCTACACCTTGCATCTTTCTTGGTTACTCCACATCACAATCTACGTATAAATGTCTTGATCCTACCACCAATCGTCTATATTTGTCCCGTCATGTCAAGTTTATTGAGGAAATCTTCCTAAATTAGGTACACAATAAATCTCATGAGTTTACTAACCGTGTCGAGACGCTTACCATGCGAGTTCTAAACAAGCGAGATAAGCGAGTCTCACTTTTACTTTGGCACAAACACTCATCCTACTACCAATTGTCCACCACTTATCATTCCACCAAACGGGACCCCAACAAACACCACTCGGCCATACAACACCTTCTCACAGACTCGACCATCATTCCGTCCAAATCCATACCCCACCTCCCTATACTATGTAACCAAACTCTACTTGTCCCACCATATCCCTCTTCATCCAATTCATTTCCTCCATCATCTTCCCTCCAACAATCATCTCCACATATTACTTCACCAAATTCTTCATCCCCGTCACCTTTTATCTCATCATCTTCTCCACAAATCCATGTTTCCTTTCCTCCAAATTCCAATCAATCTCGTCCAACTCGTGTTAGGAATCCTAATCCCAAATACTACAATGATAAATTTATTAACCTCACCATAAATCACTCGATACCCACTACCCTCGAACCTTCAAATGTAACTTAAGCTCTCAAAGATCCCTTTTGGTGGAAAGCTATGGATGCTCGAATTCAATGCACTTATGCAAAATGGCATTTGGGAACGATTCCTAAATCCCATCACATTCCGATAGGGTGCAAATGGATATTCCGCATCAAAAGAAAACCGGATGGATTTATAGACAAGTATAAATCTTGTCTTGTGGTGAAGGGATTCTTATAGGAACTTGGGAGAGATTATTTCGAAACATTCAGATCTCGTCATAAAGCCGACAACGATACGGATTGTTCTATGTCTAGCATTGTTTCAAAATTAGCCATTGCGTCAATTAGATGTAAACAATGCATTTCTACATGGAACACTACACGAGGATGTCTACATGGTGCAACCCCTAGCTATCTTCATCAAGAGTATCCCAATCACGTCTACAAGCCGAGGAAGGCCTCGTATGGTCTCAAACAGGCTCCCGTGCACGGTATACGGAGCTCAAAACTTTTCTACTTGCCTTAGGATTTCAAAAATCACTTACCGATGCCTCTCTTTTTGTTTATCATCAAAATGGCATCATGGCTTACTTCTGGTGTACGTGGATGACATAGTGCTAACGAGCAGCAACCCGGACTTCCCGGATCACTTTATTCGCAAACTAGCAACTCGGTTTTCCATCAAAGATTTAGGTCCTCTACACCACTTTCCGGGTGTTGAAGTCATTTCCACTTTGACAGGCCTATTTGTATCCCAACATCGACACATAGCCGCCTTACTTGATCGGTTTCACATGGTCGGTGCTAAAGAAGTTGCCACACCTCCGAGTTCATCCGAGACTCTCTTTCTTATTGATGATTCCGTAAAAATTGATGCTACGATCATAGGAGACTTGTTGGCTCCCTTCAATACTTAGCAATCACTCGTCCAAATGTGTCTTTTCTTGTGAATAAATTATCCTAATTTATATATGCTCCAACACAACTACATTGGCAAGCTCCGAAAAGAGTACTTTGATATTTAAAAGGCTCGATTCATTATAGGTTGTTCCTCAAACGCGATTCACCTCTAACTCTCATAGCTTTTCTCGACTCGATCGGGGTGGTGTTAAGGACAATGGTCATTCTACCACGACGTATGTGTTATACCCGGGTTCGAATATAATCTCATGGAGGTCCGCTCATCGAAATTAGTTTCTAGATCATCAATCGAGACGGAATATAAGGCACTAACAAATGCAGCAACGAAGTCCTATGGGTTCGAATCTACTCCAAGAACTAGGTGTACATATAAAACAACCTCCTACCTTATTCCGTGACAATACGGGAGCCACGTATTTATGTGCCAACCCGGTATACCATTCGCACATGAAACATTTGGCCTTTGACTATCATTTTGTACGTGAAAGAGCTTCCGATGGTTCTTTACGTGTACTACATATTAGCTCCAAGGATCAATTAGTTGACATGCTTACAAAGCCTCCGGGTCGTAGTTAATTCCTCCTTTTTCGTTCCAAGATTGGAGTATCCGATGGATCCTCCATCTTGCGGGGCGTGTAAAGGATAAGTCCAAGGAATAACAAACTCCGGATCGGGATAAGTCCAAGGAATAACAAACTCCGGATCATATTCAATACTAGTGTAAACTTTATCTGCTCGCTAATATTGTTGTAACGAGTTCCTATTTTATCTCCTAGACTTTACGCATTTCTCATATATAAGTACAAGTAACCAAAATCAATGAAAAGCGTGAATTCAATATTCTTTTAAATAGCACAATTAAGGTAGTGATGGTGGAAGCTATTGTATAATGAGTGGTAATAATATGTCTTTTTTTAATAAAAATCTTATTCTTATTTTTTCTTTTATTTCCCATCTCTTTCCATGAGAATGAAAATATTTTAAAATTTTATTCTCATTCTTATTTTCCATTTTGATAAATAGTTTATTTCTTTCAACCAAACACTTGCTAATGAGAATTAAAACATATTTTCTCATTTTCATTTTTGTCATTCTGTTCTTTACTACCAAACGACACTTAAAAATATCGATGTCCAAAATAATATTTGGCTAACTATAATTTAAAATTATTATATTTGAAAAAAAAGTATTTCAAATACTTTTATTAGTTTTTTACTTAAAAGGCAAGGTATCATGTTTGGTTCAAAAATAAATGTTTTTTTTAAGAAGAATATTTTAATGCTAATTTTATAAGTTAAAGGATGTGAACAAATAAGTTTAATTTGAATTTTCTTGTTTTTTCTTAAAAAATTATTTAATTCTCCTTTTCAAAATAAATATTTTTTAGCTCTCGTCAAATTAAATTAAAAAGTTTGGAATAGGAATGGAAGAATTGGAATAGCATTTTCATTTCAAAAATGTGTTTGAAATAGTAATAAAAAATCAAAATGAAATTTAAATTTTTAAATGTATGGTTTTTAAGATGAATACAAATAATGATTAAAAAATAATTTTATAAATTATAATGATAGTAAAAAATGATAGAGGTGGTGGTGTTAGTGGTGGAGGAAGATGAGGAGTAGGAGATGATCACTAGAAAAATTTTGCTAAATAGCAACATATTTTTTTGTTGCTATTTATCAAAAATTCATTGCTATATACAATTAGCGATGGATTAGAGATAATATATATTTCGTCGCCGACATGGTGATCACTATTTTTTTAGCGATCAAATTTTTTTCCATTGCTCGATTGTTGAATTTTCATCGATAAGTCAATCTAAAATAGTCATTTGTAACGTATTATATCCGTTTCCATACCATCACTATTTTCACTTACATCCATGCTAATCGGTGATGAAAGTTTATCACCAAATTGTAGTCATTAATATCCTCATAATTTGATCGTTAATCTATCATTATTTAGCAACTCGTATATGTCTCCAACGCCAATCACCCTCGTTATTCGTCACTAAATCCATCGCTAATTTTATTTTTAAAAAAAATCAGTAGTCGTATATTGTTAATTGTAATAATAAAAAACTATAAACAATACTTTATTAAAACATGACATGTTATTTAATAAAATTAAAATAGTATAAATTCAAATAAAATAAATATATAAATGCATTACTTCGAGCAAGATTTTAAATTATTGTTTATTCGTTTGTTTTCCTTCCTTAGATATGTTATATAATATTTATTCACTAAACTATTGTTTTGCTCACATCCTACTATTTCATTTTTCTAAGGTTGTTGGGATTTTTTCGTTGACTCCTCATAATTGTTGTCTTAAAGTCGAGATGTTGATTGGGTCGCTTATTTATTTGTAATGTTTGGAACTTTTATTTTGATAGTTGTTGTATAGTTTAGAAGTTCTACAATTGCATTTATGGGAGTTGTATTAGGTTGGTAATTATTCTGTTGGATATATTTAAGTATTGTGAATTGGATGTGGTATTGTGAATTTGGATGTGATAATATGAACTCGGATGAGAGTTATGTTATAATATTAATTAAAGACTTTATTTTGAAAAATGATATTTGATTAACTATAGGTTTAATACTTATGATTAAGGTATCCGAAGATTATTTTAGTCGAGGCTCTCTCGATTCTTACATCGATCGTGGCTCATTTCAAGAGTCATGACACAAGAGCTTGTGTTGAATTAGGTCAATTATTATTTTAATCTACTTATCATGCAATTTGGACTTATATAAAAAAAAAATGGATTCATACAAAATAAAACTTAGCTTAATTAATTAATTAAAATTTCGAAAGCATATACAACTAGTAAATCAACTCTCTTTCTAAAGATTAGTCCCTAGAATATGAAACAAGTTTCATTTTCTATATGAGTAATGTAAAAAAAATTATTTCTTAAAAATTTTAGATTTTTATCTTCTTAATTTTTTTATTATGTAAATATTTTCATTTTTTTCTTGAAGTTAATTAATTTTTACTTTTCAAAATTTTTAATTATTATTCATCTTATAATTTAATGTAATTTAGTCTCATTGGGTTGAATTGATCGAATTTTACAAATATATAGAGTAAATTTTGACCAAATCTTTTTTACAATGCCTACTTTGCCGAGTTGATACGGACACAAAAGTTGTTACGATGGTTTTACTAATTTTATTTTCTCATAATATGACCTCATATTTGATCATAATGACTAAGAAAGAATTTTAAACAAAACTAAAAGAATAAGACTTTTGACTATTCATTTATACTCGTTCAATCACACTTAGTTGCACCATTCACTTACCGTACATGATTTTTTTTTTTTTTTGACAATGTCCTAAAGCTGAATACATGAAATTAAAATGGATTTTTTTCGTTGACACTTAGTTGGCTATTCACTTACACTCGTTCATTCACACTTAGTTGCATTATTCACTTACCTGTACATGTTTTTTTTTTTTTTGACAACATCCCAAAGTTGAATACATGAAATTAAAATGGATGGAGATATAACCATAATAATTTTTTCAAATAACAAAATCTGCTTTCATAAATCTTGACACTTTCTAGAAAGGAAATAAAGAAACTCATTAAATGTCTTAAATCAAAATGACACAAAGATCCATAAGTAAAAAAAAAAAATGACATGACACTCAATACAATTAGCTCTCGGCTTGCTCCCTCATTCTACGGATCTCATACCATACCCGTAAAAAAATCTTATACCATCATTGAAGGATCATGTATCTTACGGATGTACGGAATAAAACAAAAATTTTCTCCATCTACAAGTGGCCAAGATCATGTCGTTGAATCAATTGATCACATATTAATGAATTAAAGTGATAAATGGAGAATTTACCTATTGTAGCGCGGATATAAACCTTTACAAAAAAGAGTCACCCAAGTGTCCAGCCTTTATTGATAATCCACGTAGTCCAAGCACCCACAAAAGAAGCACTTAAAATAGGATGACGTCGGTGGTGAGGCAATGAATTTGGTCAAAAATGGGGAAAATGGGCAAAATGATTAGAGTCGTTACCTAGTACTATGGTTACTAGAAAACTTTATAACCGGTCTATTTAAAGTTCCGTATAAGGGGTTTCTTACGTGTAGGGAAGATTAAAAATCACCCTACCTTGTCTTGCCTAAGGCAAACCGTATAACATATAACATTGATTTGATTTCTAATGTTTAATGATGAAAGTTTATACCTATTTTCAAGCATTTGTCCACCGATCGAGTGATTTGGGACTTGGTTGGTCGGAGACTTTGTCCTCACTCTATGGTGCATTGCTAAGAAATGAATAGTCGTGATTAATTGCAAGGATATGTGGCTAATGCGATTTAAATGGCATACGTGAAAAACAAAACTTAAAAAATATAGGGAAATAGGCAAACAAGCATAACCGATAGATTGACAAAATCGATAAATAGGCAATTGAGCAAAAATAGGCAAAATTAGCAACAATTAGAAAACGACAAAATTGAAAAATTCAAAAAATAGACAATTAGGCAAAAATAGGTAAATAGGTAAAATAGAAAAAATGACAAATTGGCAATTATGCCAAATCGATAAATTGACAAATAGTCAAAATTGGCATATACTATATTAAAAAAAAAAAGTAGAAATAAAAAAATTGGTAAAACTGAAAAAATTGATAAAAATCATTAAAGTTGACAAAAATGATTTGAAATCAAGATTAAGACCGACTAGACTTCAAAAGTTATGATTTGTAGGCGAAATCGACAAATTGTTGAAATTGAAAAAAATGAACCAAAAATAGGATTCAAATCGACACGACTCAAATATTATGAATTTTTAGACAAAATCAACATAAT